CATTCCACCAGGGTTCCACCAACATTCCACCAGGTTGTGCAAGGGCTGCGGGGTGGTCCGGGGCGGGATTGAGGTAAGGTTCCACGAGGGTTCAACTAGGGTTCCATCAGCAAGGGTTTGCTCATGGGCGGAACACTAAGCAAAACCGAAAGTCCATGGTTTGAGCACACTTTCGCTGCACACCAGGGTTCCACCAGATTTTTTTTTCCAGGGTTCCACGAAGTTCTGCAAGGGCTGCCGGGTGGCGGGCACCGACAGTTCCGGCCCAATCCGGGCCTGACCAAGACCTGGGAACCTCCAAACCCTGCTCGTGGAGCCGAGTGTGAAACGCGTGTGGAACCTTACCTCAGGACTGCTCTGTAGAAATCTTGTGGAACCCTCGTTTTGTCAAACCCTTTTCGAACCCTGTGCCCGCAGCCGTGAGCAAGTGTATACAGTGAAAGTGTTCTGAAAGCCATTGATTGTTTTGCTTAGTGTCTCGTGGAACCTTAGTTGAACTGTCTTGGAACCTTACCTCAATCCCGCCCCGCACCACCCCGCAGCCCTTGCAAAACTTCATGGAACCCTGGTTGGTGGAACCCGGGTGGAACTCATTCGATTGCAGCGTCGGGCCGGCGCTGTTGGGACCCGATTGGGGACGATCGGGGCCCGATGGCTGCATGTGCCTTACCAGCCAAAGCGACATCCCAAGCAAATCCGGCTGTGCACTATGATTGGTGGCTTGGATTGGTGGTTTGCTCGCGGCCGGGCTTCGGTTGCAGCGTCGGGCCCCGATGGCGCTGTCGGGCCCCGATCGGGGCCCGATGGCGCAATCGGGCCCCGATCGGGCCCCGATCAGGGATGATCGGGGCCCGATGGCTGCATGTGCCTTAACAGCTAAAGCGGCATCCTAAGCAAAACCAGCTGTGCACTATGATTGGTGGCTTGGATTGGTGGTTTGCTTGCGGCCGGGCTTCGGTTGCAGCGTCGGGCCCCGATGACGCTGTCGGGCTTCGATGGGGCCCGATGGCGCAATCGGGCCCCGATTGGGCCCCGATCAGGGACGGGGCGCGATGGCTGCATGTGCCTTAACAGCTAGCCCGACATCCCAAGCAAATCCGGCTGTGCACTATGATTGGTGGCTTGGATTGCTGGTTTGCTCGCGGCCGGGCTTCGGTTGCAGCGTCGGGCCCCGATGGCGCTGTCGGGCCCCGATCGACCTACCAGTGCTTCATCCTTCATCGTTAAGTTCCCATTGTTGCAGCTAAAGTCACGGGTCCACCCTAAGGGCGCCAACCTAAGCCCTCCAACATCACGGTGCTTGAGCCTTCATGCCAATGTCCAGAACTAAAGACGCAGATCCAATCCAAAAGCTCTCTAAGCTTCCCAAAGATAGATTCCAACCTTCTGGGCTCCATGCGACCTTTCAACTCCCACCTGTTTTAATACTCCGGATGTTTTTTGAACTGGTCCGGCCGGGCGCTTGCCAATCGGACCTAGTACAAAACACCAGTTTAACTTCCTTTTGTGTATTTGCTGGCTGGGCCCGGCGTTTCTGCTGCGGACCTAGTATAAAACACCGGTTCACCTATTTAGCTGTCCGGGCATGTATTTGCAGACGCCGTAGGTGTCCCAAACTGGGGGCTTGCCCACCGCAAAACCACATACTTTCGGACACCTATTGTTTTGGGCCGTGTCTTGAAAACATTTTTTTGGGTGTACCAAACGGACACCTATTGTTTTGGGCCGTGTCTTAAAAACCACTTTTTTTTTAGGTGTCCCAAACTGGGGGTTTGCCCACCCCAAACCGCATACTTTCGGACACCTATTGTTTTGGGCCGTGTCTTGAATGAAAACCGCTTCTTTTTTTGTAGGTGTCCCAAACTGGGGGTTTGCCAACCTCAAGCCACATACTTTCGAACACCTATTGTGTTGGGCCGTGTCTTGAAAACCATTTTTTAGGTGTCCCAAACTGAAGGTTTGCCCCAAACCACATACTTTCGGACACCTATTGTTTTGGGCCGTGTCTTGAAAACGCTCGGTTTTGCTTAGTGTTCCGCCCATGAGCAAGGCGATCTCCTGAGCCCTCAATTGACTGCTCCACTGGCTTTTCAGACGGCGCACGACGCATTGCTTCCCTCCACAGCAAATTTGTGGAGCCCTTGTGGAACTGTGGAGCCTTGTAGAACCTTACCTCAGCCTCGTGGAACCCAGTGCAGAACCTTGTGAAAACCTTTGTAGAACAACCCTTGCGGAACCTGTAGAAGTGGTGGAACCATCGCGGTGGACCCTTGTGGAACCCTGTGGAACCCTGTAAAACCTTACCTCCCCAGGGCCCAAACCCTGTTAAAAAAAACATGTGGAGCTCTGGTGGAACCCTCGTGCCAGGGTTCCATCAGGGTTCCACCAGGGTTCCACGAGGTTGTGGGAAGGTTTTACGAGGGTTCAACTAGGGTTCCACCAGCGAGGGTTTGCTCATGGGCGGAACACTAAGCAAAATCCGAAAGTCAAAGGTTTGGGCGCACTTTCACCACGAAGTTCTGCAAGGGCTGCGGGGTGGCGGGCAGTCCTGAAGTAAGGTTCCACGAAAATTCCACCAGAGTTCCACCAACGCCAGAGTTCGACCAGGGTTCTACCAGAGTTGATTTGGGGTTCCACCAAAATTCCACCAGGGTTCCACCAGGGTTCCTGCGGGGTGGTCCGGATTGAGGCAAGGTTCCACGAGGGTTCAACTAGGGTTCTATCAGGGTTTTATGCGGCGGAACGCTAAGCAAAACCGAAAATCAATGGTTTTCAGCGCACTTTCATTGCAAACACTTGCTCACGGGGTCAGACAACGTGGCCCAGTGGGCTTTGGGTTCCAAGGGCTCCACGAGGGCACAGGGTTCCAAAAGCGTTCCACAAGACGAGGACAGCGCAGTCCTGAGGTAAGGTTCCACAAGCGTTTCATGCTGCGAGGGTTCCACAAGAAGGCTTTCACAAGGCGGCGGTGGGTCGGATTGGTAGTCTTGGTCAGGCCCCGATTGGGCCGTCGGGCCCGATCAGGGCTCGCTGGCACTGTCGGGGTCCGAGCAGCCGTCGGGCCCCGGCGCATGTGCCTTACCAGCCAAAGCGACATCCTCAAGACCGGCTGTGCGCTATGATTGGTGGCTTGGATTGGTGGTTTGCTCCCGGGCCCCGGTCGAACACCGATTGCAGCGTGGGGCCCCGATCGGGGCTGGACGGCTGTAAAGCAGCAAAACCGGCGGCGCGCTGTGACTGGTGACTTGGGGCCGATTGCACCGTCGGGCCGCGATCGGGGCGCGCTGGCGCCGTCAGGCCGCGATCGGGGCCCGCCGGCTGCACCTTTGTGCAGTTAAGGCGGCGTCCCAAGCAAAAGCGGCAGCGCGCTGTGATTGGTGGCTTGGATTTGTGGCTTGTCTGAAGCTCTTCACTGTCAAGTCTTTCGCTAGTCTCGAACCTCAAGAACAAAAGCATTTAACTGCAGTCTTTCTTTCAACGGGGTGTCCAGAGAATAGCTTTGGAAGCGCGTGAAAAGCAGCTTGTTGGACACCTATTTCAGGACATGTTTCCATGGCCCCTCACTGTGCCGGAAGAGTCCCCAGTTCATGCGGCAACTGCTTTTCCCCAACAGCTGACAGCGCTGGGGTCTCTGCCCAGATAGGCTCCGGGGTGGGCGGCTCTGAGGAAGTCTCCACGAGGGTTCCGCGAGAATTCTGCGAGAGCTGCAAAAGCTCCGGGAAAATTCCGTTCTGCAAGGTTCATAGGGCGGTTCCAAGGAGGGTTCCAGGAGGGTTCCGCGAGGGTTATGGAGGGTGTGGCGCTGTTGGGGATATCGCCTGAGCTTATTGTGCCTCGGGCAGAAATCAGCCGGCAGTGACAGCAAATGAGCGGGGTTTGTTTGTCCCCTAAATCAGCACCCCGGAGAGGCCCGCTCATTTGCCCTCCATGGTGAGGGCAAATGAGCTGGCAGAAATCAGCACCCACTCATTTGCCCTCACCAGTGAGGGCAAACGAGCGGGGTCCGTTTGTTCCCTTTTTATCGTGCCTCGCGCAGAAACCAGCTCCCCGAAGAGGCTTGCTCATATGCCCGGTCCGCTTGTTCCCTTTTACCAGTTTGTTCAATTTTTACCGCCTTGGGCAGAAATCAGCACCCTGGAGTGGACGGACTGGTCGGACAGCTCGGACAGATCAGATTGGACGGACCGGGCAGCTGGCCCGCGTGGACGGCTCGGATGGACCGCTCTTACATCTCAGACTGATAGCTCGGACAGATTGGACTGAACAGACTGGTCGAACGTTTGGGCCCGCGAAGCACGGACTGGTTGCAATTTGGGCTTGCGAGCGGACTGGTCGGGCAGCTCAGACTGGACGGACTGGTTGGTTGGGCCTGCGTGGGACGGACTGGTCCGACAGTGAACGGACCGGCGCGCGAAGCACGGGACTGGTCGGTCGGACAGATCGGACTGGGCGGACTGAACGGCTGGGCCTCCGCAGGACGGACAGCTCGGACTCAGACGCCTCTTGATAAGCGTTCAGATGAAGAGCCCAGCTTTGCCTTGGAAAGCTTTGAGCTTCACATTTGGCGAGCTCGGCTTTGCCTTCAAAATTTTTGAGCGTCTATTTGGCGAGCTTCCCTTTCTAAGGATTGACTTTTGAAAGGGGCCTCCTTTTCCAAAAATAGACTTCAAGTGTCCATCTTACAGGACCCCCCCCCGCCCCTAAAACCTACGTATGAGACGTTGGGCACGGGGGGGGGGGGTAAGGTGAGGGGGCTATCCTCTATCCTCTAGTAGGTATCCGACACGCCGACCAATGTTGGCGGACTTGTTTGGCTTGCCCCTGCGTTGCGTTTTTTTTTTTGGGGGGGGCGATGTTGTATATTTGCAATTAACCTTTGAATTAGCCTCTTTTGGGTGAAAAATCGGGGTCCAGTGGCCCAGAATTTTATCAATACGGGCCCAAGCAGAAAACTTAGGTTGACATTCTTGGATTAATGCAACCAATGCCCGATCGTCCAGGACTCAGCGGCAAAAGGAGTTGCGGGTGAAGGCAGTGAAGCTCTTGGAGGACAGGTTCCAGCAGGCCCTAAGCTCAAGGGTTTGGTATTACCGAGCACGTCCCCTGTGTCGAGGGCATCTCACTCAAAGTGGTCGCATTTTGCGGGGGAAAGCCCTCTCACCCGTGCATCTGTTTGATCAACCCCGAGCGGCACCTTTCCAGACCACAGAAGGAAACTCGTGAAACCTGTGTCAAAAGGACAGCAACGTGTAGACACGTAGTCAACCATCTCATTCCATTTAGCCCTGCCGCGTGAACAACGTGCCGATGCCAGTGTTCAGGTCCCATAGGCATCTTCGCTGTGATTATTGGAGAACGACCCAGTGTCCTTGCAGGAGCCAACCTGCTCGCTGCTGCGGGCACAACAGCAGGCGACTGGCTAGCACGGCATGCCTCATTCTCCCGGACCAACCACCTTAGGGATGATGCTTTTGCGAGATGGTGAGAAGTAGAAGGAGGGAGAGAGGTCGGTTTTTGTGAAGTTGACACGTACCGCGGCAGGTTATCCACGCTTGGCTGCCGTCCATTGTGAGTCGGGACGATGATGTCAGCACGCGCTTGCCTGAAAACGAGGAGGAGATCCTAGCAGCTTGGAAGCAAGTGCCGTCTTAGGTACGAACATACCCGCATTAGTGGTTCCAAGCGTGTTGGGCAGGGGCCACCCAGGCTACCTCAGCAAATCCACCAGCCTGATATGACGAATGATTATATGAGTTTAAATTGCATGCTTACAAGCAGCATGAGGCAGCCCCGTCCGCCCGCAGGGCCTACTATAGAAACAGGTGCGAGGAAACGCATGACTGCGTGCTTGGCGTCCTGTAACCCCAGGCGCTGCACCAAGACTTCATGGAAGAGTACTTGAACTGATGGACGCCCTCACTGCCCTTCCCAAGGAAGGCCGGTGATTGACTGCCAAGAGCAGTGGAAACCTTAGGACCAGCGTTGCCATGGCCAAGTTTGAGCGCGGGTGCTGGCCACGGCACAGCATCCACACAAGCATGACTGCAAAGACTCCGACCTTCTTCAGAACTTCCACAGTGTGAAATGAACCCCCTTACCCCGCAAAATCAGCATGTCACATGACCTCGTCAAGACATCGTTTGGCAGCAAGCGCTTTTGGGAGCAACTAGCGCGTTGCCCAGAGTGAGCCCAACTGCTGGGCGTTGCTAGCAGGAACCTGGCACTTTGAGCCGCAGACCTTAGTCTCATAGATTTGTGGAAGGGCGAGCTTTGCACAGTGCCGTTGATTTAGTCTGGCTCGGGATGGCAGCTTGAGCGAGAATGTCAACCAATGAAACACTGGAGGCCAGCCCAACTGCTTTCCCACGGCTGGGAGGTCAACTCGTGCCTCCAGAACCCTGTTGTATGCAGGATTCCTCAATTAGCGCGGGCGGTTGAGGACAGCTCCTGCTCCTGTGGGAGCCTGGAGCTGATGGAGACGCATCATTTCTTGAATTCATGACGCTGGGTGTCGGCGATTGTTTTGAGGCTGGTGTGGGCTTCGAGGCAAAGCGAACCTTGCAAAGCTGCGCTGGTGAATCGCCAGGAGCGCTTGCAAGGAGCTTTTCGCTTTTGCCAATGGAAGCACCTAGGGCCCTAGCAGCTTCTGGCATCAGTGTGTTGAAGCAGCGCTTTGCTGTGAGGCGCGATGGCTTTCTCGGGCGGTCTAAGGTTGACGCGGAAGTTTCTGTCGATGGCGCTGGCATTTGGGTGTTTCTCAAAATGGGGGTCTCCCAAAATGGTTGGTTTGCACCCGCAGAATGCCAGCCAAAAGAAGGGGGCCCGCCATTTTGAGCAACTTACATTTTGGAATTTGTTTCCTTGAAGCAATTCCGACAACACATTTGTTTTGAAACGCTCAACAAGAAAAAACTCCTCTACCATTTCAGGGGGATAACCATTTTTGCCTGCTGGGGTGCCCTGTGTTTGAGCCCTGGTTCCGCCCCTGTTTTCGTTGTCCAAATGGCCCTCCCCCCTGTTCCGTGCACAAAACCAGTTTTCAGAATGCAGTTTCCGAGCAGGCTAACCTCTTGTTTCAATTATTTAAGAGCCAATACTTGACCACTAAAACAGTACTAAACCAGTACTAAACCAGTACTAAACCAAGACTAAACCAATGCTAAGCCAATGCGAAGACCATGTGGCAATGATATTGTCTGTTATTCGGACGCTTGACATTTGCTGACCCAAAATCCAGTTTAGGATTGTTTGGTACTGACCCAAATCCAGTTTAGTGTCGGGGGCTTGCGAGCTTGGCGGCTTGGGAAATCAGTTTTCACCGTCAAGACCGCTATAACCAGGGGAGAGGATTGCGAGCAAGCGACTTCTAACAATTCTAGCACTATTTTTTGTTTACAAGCACCGTCAGCAACATTCCAGCAATATCCGTTTGCTGTGGTGCTTGCAAGCGTCTCGGGTGGCCACACTCTAGTTTTCTTGGTTAATAGCACGTCGTTGATCACATTGTTGTGATGGTGAGGGTGTCAGTCAAGGTGAGCTCCCATATCCGCGCTTCCTTGAACGGCCCGAGCTCGGCAATTTGAACACGGGGCAGAGCAATTTGTGCTTTAGTGACTTGATCTTCCTGTGCGAAATTCTGCGCGAAGCGTGACGCACCGCCAGAGTAGCGGGACTTTCCGGACATTCGAGTGGGAGCATGGGCCTCTGCGTTCTTTCAATTCAACATGAGTTGCAGCAACTTCTATGTACATAGCATGAACACTGGGATTTCGGAATGGTCTTGACATGTGCTGACCTTGATTGTACAAAGAGGCTGCGATGCTTGCTCGCACTTTCCTCTTTTCACATGGCTTGCTTGAGGAAAGTCATGATACCTGTTGGTTTTGGATAATGCGAGCTTCGTTGGCTCAGGCCAACGGCTACCTCTGTCTCTCTAGCTGCCGTCAGATGAGACCTTACAGGAACAGTTTCCAGGCTGGTGATCAAACGCCTCACTTGATCACTCTCTGGACCCTCACGCCCTGCAGTGGCTCGTGCCACAAGGAATTTTGCGGGCGCAGTTAACAGCTTTGTCACAGGGATTGGGCTTCACAATGTGACAATCACACTTGCCCCTTTGGATCTCGACTTGGTGCCTCCTTGAAGGGGAGGCACCAGGGATGGCATGTGTGAACTAGAGGGAAGGAAGCCAGGCTTGCCTCTGGGCCACTTGAGCTTGCGGGCCAGTTTCAGGCCACTCGAATTCGAACCGATGCTTTGGTGAAATTGGCTCTCAGGATCAGGCATGGCACAGAGCTTGCTTTCCTGTCCAGAATGCTTTTTGGTGGCGTGTAGTCACCTGCGCGGATGTTGTTTGCTGACAAAAGGTGCTGAAGGTGCAAAGTTAGGTATTTCTGTTTTCTGTGCCGACGGGCAAGCATGACTTTGTCAGATACGCGGCTTTCTACGCTGCATGTGGAGCTTGGCCTTCCAACCTATGGCAATAACGTGTAAAAAGTACGGACGTGGTTTGTATGTTGGATGCCTTTGCAATGGGCCCCGAGCTGCTTTTGTCCCAGGTTTGGCGGCCTCAGCCCTCCCTAGATCAACAGGTTACCTTCCATTGGAGGCCATGGCTTTTTGCGACTGTTTGTGGCTTTTGGCTTTTGGTGGCTTTTCGACCCTAAGAACCCACTAAACCAATCCTAAGCCATCACAAACTCACCCGAAGCCAGCACTGAATCCACCCGAAGCCACAGCTAAACCAAACTCTAAACCAACCCTAAGCCCGCCCGAAAGAAACCCTACAGTGACAGTCAACCCAGCCTAAACCTAAACCCCCACCAAGCACTCCTAAACCCAACCCTAGAAGCAGATAAAACCAACCCTAAACTCAGTAAACCAACCCAAAACCCTGCCTGTGCATTCCCTACACCACCCGAAACCTAACCAAAGCTTCTGGTAATGTAGCAACCTAGGAGAAACTAGAACCACGGATGGCCCGAATGAAAGCATAACATGGAGCAAATGTCTGTCCGCAAAGGTCCGTGCGAAATATTTTGTCATACAGTTTCCACCCAAAAGAGTTGCCGCGCTTAATGGTCGGCTGCGTTGGCTCTCGTGCCTCTTGCCATGCTGGGGCTGTCGTGCATCTTGCTCATGCTTCTCGTGTCTCTCGCTATGCGTGGGCTCGCGCTAGCGCTTCGCGCAGAAGAAAAAACCCTCGCCGTGTTGCTTCAAAGGAAGAATGATTTTTAACGTCTAATCTGTCTCGTACAAATTTTCTCGTAAAAGTGTGGTCGTGCAAGTGCGCTCGTGCGAGTTTGCTTGTGCGAGTCTGCTCGTGCGAGTTTGCTCCTGTAAGCGCTCGCGGAAGTGTGTTCGGTCGAGTTTGCTCGTGCGAGTTTGCTCGTGTAAGTATGTTCGATTTTGATACCCACGATTTGTTGGTGATGCTAGGGATGTTGGTCGGACATGCGGGGGATGTTGAAAACGATGCTGGGGATGTTGACGCGCTAGTGTAAAATGCGTCAATTTCGCGAGAAAATGCTGTAAAATACGACATTTTACTGGCCCGGGCGAAAGGGGAAACAAATAATCCGAAAAATACAATAAATCCAAAAAAGATACGCACCCATCCATTCTGACTGGCCATGTTTCAGGGAAGGCGTTTGACCGGATTTTTGAAGACTTGCCCGCAACCCTTCGATCTGACCACGTGTAAGAACATCTTGAGCAGCAGCCTGCAGCGGCTCACGTTTCACCCCATCCCAATATTTGGGAATCGGGCTGAGTTTTGGGGAGGTCATTGAGGTCATGCAAGTGGTAAACAGCCTTTGTATAGAAATGACATGAGATGTTTGCAGAACAGCCGGTCGTACCTGGCTTTTTCCATGGGGTGCCATGAGCGACGGTCTGGTGGCACGGTGCCCCAGAGCCACTTGTGCGATGGCTGGAAATGGGGGGGGGGCCCAGCATTGATAAACCGATTCATGCATTTAAGGTTGCAGTTGTCCCATTCAACAGGGGGAAATCCCCCTCTATCGAGGTTAAGCATCCTTCGCCAAGGGCAAGCCAGTGGTTCAGCTTCCCTCTCAATTGTTATTCCTCTGGTTTGAGGACAGGCGCGCCGAAAAAAGAAGAAGAACACCCTCAATCATTCACTTTCGTAGCAGAACAGCAACACTTTTCCTCCTGTTGGGTGGTGACCTGCTTGCTTTGGCATCCAGACTGTAGACTGTGGCGTGCGCCCAGTGGGTTTCAATCCATTGGTCATGGACAGCCCCGTGTGTATGTGTGTGCGTGTGTGTGCTTGGCAGGTGGGCACGTATCTAGCTGAACAAGTGGCAGTCACGAGCTACGTGTCACTCGGCAGCTCGTTACTACGATGGCTCCTCGCAGGCTGTTGCCGCAGAATATCAGCTGAAAGCTCCCTACTGCAGATTCATACAGCAGGCGGTTTTGCAAGGCTTATGTTTGACGGATGGGCGAAGGACCCTAATTAGTCAGTTGCCCAAAGGCCTTCCATTCTTTTGTTTGTAGCTGCCTTGCTCCGCTTTCATTTCTGCCCGTGCGAACACCTTGCATGACACATTGGCGAACTGCCCGCTCATAGCAGCAGCTTGGGAACAGCATCATGAATCATGACTCAAATGCCTGCGAGGGAGTGCCAAGAGTGGGCTTTTTCTGCATTGGCACTGCTTGGGGGTGTCGAGGCTGCTCTCTGTGCCCCTGGCGGAAAGTGCAGCGCCTGCCCCTCCTGTACCATTTGTGGCGGGCAACAAGCTCCATGGCCGAACGGTAGGGAGCCTGGGAAGGGACTGGATCGACCACATGGGCCAAGGCAAAACCAAGGTAAAGCCAAGGCAGCTGGCAGGACAAACAGTTGCAGATGGAGAGATTTGGTGGGTGACTGGCAGTTGCGTTGTGCTTTCCCAGGCCGGGGCGTCTCAATTTTGTCACAAGAGGCCCGGTTCAGGCTCATGCGGCCAAGAAAGCATTGCCACAACTCACGATAGGCCATCGCACTGTTCACCCGAGGTTAAGGAAGAGGCGGCTGCCTCTCAGCTGCATTTTGAAGCTCAGTGGGGTTACCGATTGGTTTGTTTTCTACATTTGCTGGGCTAGGACGGCTAGGATGAAGCCGAATGTCCAGTCTGATCATCAATCAACTTTCCAGGGTGGTTCCGAAACTATCCATATTGTGTGGGATTCCAAGACCCCTCTGAATCTGATTCATAAGGGTCCTCCCGCTTAAATTGAAGGTTGGGGGTGAAAGGTTGCTGCTAGCTATCTTCGGCCAATTTGACAGCTTGCTTGAGGGTTTTTTGTAGGTATTAATGCTGGTATTTAGGCTTTGCACAGGTCTGCCTCAGGAGTCCCGTCTTGCTGCTTCTGTTGATGTGACTTGCCAATCGCCGCCTTTCAGGAGGAACGACCACAGCAATTTCAAAGCTGATGTGCTGCCAGCACTCGCGCCTTGTCATCGACCAGTGCTGGGGGGGTCGTCCCGTGTTGACTGCTGACAGACGATAAAACATCGAGCAAGCAACTGACCCGCGCCCGGCCAAACCGCCTACCTTGCCGGAAGGCCAAAGGGTCGTTTGGCGCCAGGCCCTGGACCCACTGCTCAACCGCAAAACAGGGCAGGCAGAGAAGCAGGCGCAGCGCCGCTTTGGCAGCAGGGAGGCTTTGGGGGGCGAGCACCTGGCGCTCGGTCAGCTTTCAAGAGCAAGCGTCCAGGGCGGCAAGCGGACACTGCGTAGCTAAATCATTCCACATTGGCCGCCTACACGCTTGCGCCCTTCCTGGACACTGCTTTTTCTTTTGGGTACGGTGCTTGCAAGGGGTCTCACCGGGAAATGCCTTCGCGGGCCATGCCACCATTTTACAGCAGATGTGGGTCTGTCAGAATCCGGACTCCCCTGCAAGCACACTGGCAGGACTGAGAATCCAGGGCCCTTTGTGGAGGTGAAATTGCTTGGGTGCTTAACGTCGCCCGCCCGTGGCGCCGGGTTTTCCAAGATGAGGGCTTCGAAGCCTGATGGGTCTTCCGTTTTGGGGCACGTAGCGGTAGGGGATTTACTGTACTTGCATCGTCGCATATCAGCTCGCTCGTGCTTGTGTCGTGAGTTTTGGCTTGTGTCGTCGCCAACTGGCTTCAAACTTTGCGGTCTTACAGTTGCCGGCATCCTAGAAGCAAGTGCGATCATACAACAGGCGCACGGATTTTGCATCGGCCCAAATAGTTTTAGGTGTGATTTTGTTTCAATGCAACCATGATCCCAAAATCACCTGCGGTCGCAGGTGATCCACATGTCCTGCCTTTGGCCTACTGAGCCTGAAGGTAGTTGTTCAGCACGTGATGCTCTCCTTCAATGGCCGCATGTGATGGCTATGTTCGGGCCAACGTGACCCGCCACCCACAACATCAGAACCCCACTGTGAGGCTTTGTTTTGAGGTGCTTTGGGTTCACTTGTAGCTTGGTTTGAGCAGTTTCGCGAGGAAACCCTGGAACATATATACTGTACCCGGCGGCGCGGCGCGTCTCCTGCCTTTAAGCTTGTGTGGCAGGAAGATCGCGAAAGAGTCTCCCACCTCCCCCCAAGCAGAAGTGCATACACATATTGTCTTGAGCTGGCGTCACAGCTTGCAGAGGATGGTCGGGCAGTGTCAGTTGCCGTGCATGAGGCCGCCAGCGTCTCAACCAGATTGAGATCTCTTCAGCTCGATTGGCCGAGGGCAGGACGGGCTGGTAGATTGAATTCCCAAACGAGGGTAGACGCAACGACACGCTGCATTGCAAGTTACGCTGCGCCCCAAAAATGGAGTGGAATCTCGGAGCGGCAGATTTTAGCCGTTCGCTTTGATTGCAGGGCATGGCGTTTTCATGTGTGCGGGAAAGGGGAAGGCGAAGTGCAAGATGACGGACCTTGAATTGCTTCGCTTGTGCATTGGCGGTCGCACCAGGCGCACTTGGACACCCCAGCGTGACGCAACTGCTCCGCCGCCATCGCGAGGCGACAGCAAGGCAGGCTGGCAAAGGCGGTGAGCCAAGAAAACAAGGGGCCGACCGTGCCTGAGGCTAAGATGTGCTATGGAATGCGAACGTCTTGAAGCATTGTCGCGACATCAAATCTGACAGTGACGCCAACCCATATTTTTTTGATACGAGTTGAGAAAAACAGCAAGCAAGTTGCACATCCAAAAGGGAAGTGAGACCATCCCGAAGTCCCTTTTGGATGTTCTTGTCTCCAGGGTCGCACGAGGACTTTTTTGAGCCTTTCGTTGGCTTGAGACAAGCCACTCCGGAGGCAGTCGCGTGCTTGACAGCTCCTTTGCCATGGTTTCGTTGGCGGCCTAGGGCAGGTTCTCACCCAGATGCTTAGTATGACTTAGCGGTTGCTGCTCCATCATTTGTCTAGGGTTAAGCCCTGGTGCATCTTCGCGGCTTCCTGATCGCAAGGCCTCCAGGACTCAGAGTTCAAACCTCGGAAGAAAGGCGGCTGTGCATGCATGAGTGCATGACAGTCTGATAGTCTGGCCATGCATTGCTGGAAGGTTAAGAGCAGGAGGTAAGCGCCCGTTACATGCTCGTAGATGGGCCAGAATGAATGTGTTGCCCTTGGGCAGGAATGCGTGCCACAGATCCCTGGGCTTCTTGATGGCAGTGAGAGATGCATATGGTCCCATGCAGCCACAGAACTGGCCGTTGATCCAGACGTCCCCAATCGCGCCTGCCTGTAGCTTTGCAAGCTGAACCTTCCGAGGAGCTCTTTGACAAGAGCCTACGGGGCACTGGGGTTGTGACAGCCTCAGAGTGACTGACTGAAGGTAGCTTGGGGATGTTCCAAGCAAGGGCATTGTGAGCTTGAGCCCGAGAGGGCATCAGAAGCAGGAGGCTTCGAGTTGTTGGAATCAAGAGCTAGAGGCTTTTAACATCTTTATCTTAGCTCTGGGGATGCTATGCTCAAGGTCTTTGCATCGTCCATTTTGACCTTGGGCAGCACCAAGGAACATAGTCCAAAGGCAAGGTCGCGGTGGACTCCACACAGCAACCGCGCCCTGGCAGGAAGCGAGAGCGAAATGCAGGAGATTTACGGAGCCGGCTCGATTCGCAGCTCCCCAACAGCTTTCTCTGCCTCTTAGGGTTGACTTTGAGCGAGTAGCTGCATGGTGTATTAGTTTAGTTTGTCGCGGCTTTGAGCGAAGTCAATTCGCGGTTCTCTTCAGCTCTGGCGGCACTGCAGGCCTGAGCCAGGAGTCAAAACACCTTCATATTTTTATGTTCCCAGGTTGGGCCTGCTTCAGAGCAAGCCCACAGTTTCGGCCAGATATACATTGCTCGTTGGACATGTCTGCGCGTTGTGCTGAGCTTGCACGTTCACAGCCCCTCGGGCCTGGAATGCGTTTCACCAAAACAAGGTTTTTAGACGCTCTCCCAAACAGAAGAAGAACAAGTAGCAACAGTCTTTCCGATTTTTCTGGGCGCACGGCTTTGCTGGCTAGAAACACATTGAAGACCCTTCCAAAGCAGGACTGTGAACTTGTTGCTTGATGATGGCGTGTTGCCCAAACAGCCTTAGTCAGCAGTCAGACAGACGAGAAGGCCGGTTCAATCAGCAGGGTAACCCGGCTCACGATCGGCTTGGGTGTCCATTCTGAGCATATCATGGGGTTTGCATGTTTCGGTTCGAATCGTTCAAAAAAAAAAGGTAAGACAATTGAAGCAAATTGTGAAACGGATTGCAAAAGCAATCAAATTGGCTCGCAAAAAGAAGTGAAAAGAGTGCCCGAATTAAAACGCGAGTTCACCACTCCAGCCCAAATGTGAGTCGCAGATAATCATCACTGAGGTCACATGAGCATCCAAAAGAAGCCAGTGGCACGAAATACCAAAACCAAGAGTTCCATAAAAGCCAATCGAATCAAACTGAGCGTAATCCAAACGAGCCACCTGCAACCTATATGCCTAAAATAAGCGTCACACGCGCCGAGGGTAGAAGAAGGAAAGCCGCAGCATTCCACGCATCCAAAGCAGAGCCAATCCACCTCGCACATGCAGCAGTAGCACCAAGCCCACAAATGTAAGATGAGAAGCGACATCCATGGTCCTGCAAATCCGCAACGCACCGCAGCATCTGACACGAGGCCAACCGCAGTCAAAATGTCCTGAAGAAAGGCACACACGGGTTTGAACGGCGCCAGTTCAGTTCCGCGGGCTTCCTGGAAAGTCTCGCATGTTTGGCCATGCCGTGGATTGGGCACCATGTCTGGCCATGCAAAGTCTCTCCTGCCAACAAAGCAGAAGGGTCAGAAACCAACATGGCTTCCCCCTGTCCATCGGCATGAGAGCGCCGTGACCCAATTGCATCGCTCAAGAAATGAGCACCGCGCTGAACAGGTTTCTTTGCGGCGTCTTATTGGCTCCCATTTCCAGGAGGAATTCTGTGATGGTAACTGTCAGGTGTTCCATGCTCCTTTGCAAACATATGATTTGTTAGAAGCTTGGGCATTGCGTTGCTTTGCTTAACTTTTCGGTTTAACCGGAGGTGATGAGCACGACCTCTTCAAGTTGAGCTTGACAGAGCAGCCCTTGCTGCCGGAGGATGCAGTGGAGGCCATGCGACCATACTTCTCGCGTTCAACGCTGTCAATTTTTGCAATTGTCACATCAGAGCCTGCAACTCGGTGATTCCTGATCCGCCTGGGATGGATGTTCAACACCTGCTTCATGAGTTTGGTCCCGTGTGGCTACGTCACATGTCACTGTTGCGTTCGTTGCCTTGGCAGGCATACTTTGAGAGCCAGCAGTCCAGGACCAGCCAGCGCAAAACCTCAGAAGCTGTGCGGGCTGGCAAAGACAAGTGGCCGTGTGTGGCTGTCGCTTCTGTCGGGCGGTAAGTGTTATTGTCCGGCCTGGTTGACAATTTTCAGGGGCGAACCAGAGCTCAAAAAGCACGCTTGCTATCCAAGTTGGCACATTAGCATTTGTGAGGCAAATTCCAGCCAAACTCATGTAATCACGGCAGGTGTGGAAGGAACATGAGCCAGCATTTTGTCTTGATAAGTCCTTCCATGTCCTTCCTTTGATTCAAAATCTCGGTGGCTCCCTGGGTTTCCCTATCCTTGGGGTTTGGGGAGAGAGAGGGGCACACTGATGAATCCCTACAAGTTCACGGAGTGTGGCAATTCACGTGGCTTTGAACTTCTTGATTTCGGCGAGTTCCAGCGAACGATGAAACCCACCAAACTCTGACAAACTCCGACAAAGCCGGGCACACCGCGCTCCAACATCACCTCCTCCTATTCCTCAAGAGCGAAAGCTAAGCGGTCTTAGCGGTGGCAGGTTCCTGGAGGTTGGGCTATGACTTAGCTGGATCCAAGAAGCTGCAAACAGGAATTTAGGACACATTTGGTTTACCAGTGGCTTTTTGGGGAGTGCGCGAGTGCAGTGTGCGCGTAGGATGTGCGAGCGTGCGAGTGGACTCTGCGAGTGTGAGTGTGGGACGGGCAAGTGATCGAACTCCACCAGCATCATTTAGAGAGGCATCGCCACATGCAAGAAGCTGTGTCATGATCGTTTTAGTCAGTCACTCTGTGATATGATTTCATTTGAATAGGGTATGCACTTGAGCCAAAATGGACCTTCGCTATCGGGGCCAGTTTGGCTCAAGGGCCAAAACAGCCCATTCTCTTTGCCCCTCTGTGCTGTGAGATGCTTTGCCATGCTGCTTTTCACAGGCGTGCCCCACGTTTCTTTCCTTGGTGCCAGTGAGCCACGTTCCGCGCGTGAGCTATGGATGCTCTGTTAGGCCCCCTTTGCAATCGCCTACGGGTGGGCGCGCCCCTTGAGTTCGTTTAGCAACATTCACTCGCCGTGCAGCTGGAAACGGCTTGTGCGGTGTGAGAAGAGATGGTTCCGGACGTCGGCCTGCGAGAGGAGCCTCAGGGAGCAATGCCCCCATCTCACGCAGCCTTGCCACAATTTGTTTGCATGCCGTGGAAAGCATGACTTTGCATAAAAGTAGGATCTAACAAATAGTCTGTTGTGCGTTCTCTGCTCGAGTGAAGGAGCGCGCGTGTACTCAACCACTCGTTCGCTTACTCGCCCGGCCCGCTCGCTCGCTCGAGCAGTCTCGCGTGCTCGCGTGCCATTCTTGCGCACGATTCCTTGCGCGCTGGTACTCGCGCAGGTGACTGTCGGACCAGTTGACAACTTCTTGGACATTTTTCTGAACACCCCAGAGCGGACAACTTAAACAAAAACGAGTGCTGGAACTGATGACGCCGGGAGATGCTTCCGCGAAAAAACGCCTGTGGGAAATGCCTGTGATTTATCCCATGCCTGCCTACTCAATGATGCACATGTCGGGCGCTGGCTTGCGAGGGCTAGGTTTCGGGTGTGTGGTGTGCCCGTTTGTGTCTGCGTGTCTGCGTGTCTGTGTGTCTTTGCGTCTGTGTGTCTGTGTGTGTGTGTGTGTCTGTGTGTCTGTGTGTCTGTGTGTCTGTGTGTGTGTGTGTGTGTCTGTGTGTCCGTGTGTCTGTGTGTCTGTGTGTCTGTGTGTCTGTGTGTCCCTGTCTGCCTGTCTGTCTGTCTGTCTGTCTGTCTGTCTGTCTGTCTGTCTGTCTGTCTGTCTGTCTGTCTGTCTGTCTGTCTGTCTGTCTGTCTGTCTGTCTGTCTGTCTGTCTGCCCCGCCTGGGTCTTCAGGTAGTGATGAGCTACCCCCCCCAAAGCTACCCCCCCCAAAAGAATAAGGGCTAGACGCTCCTTCTCAACTGACTGAGGTTTCAGGAATCATGAGAGAGTGAGATGACACGTGTTCCGGGCACGCGCCGCACAGGCTTCAGGGTTTCTTTTCGGTCCCTGTTTCAGCACTTTTTTGGGGCTCCTGTAAATCGTGCTATTTTTTTGGGGGGGGAGCTCCAGAATTGTGCAAATAGCGCAATTTTGAAGCTCCCCCCCCAAAAAAAATAGGGCTTGACCACGCACCCCAGGACCCTCTTTTGGGACCGCGCCTGCTCTCGCCCCTTTTGAAAAGAGGGGGCCTCTAAATGGCGCTACACATGCAGAAGAGTTGCGGTGTGACCATGGCCTTTAGGCTGCCGAAATGGCAGGGCTTGTTTGGGCTTTATTAAGCCTTATTAAGCCTTATTAAGCCTTATTAAGCCTTATTAAGCCACATTCGATAACCAGTAAATAAGGCTTATTAAGGCTTAATAAGGCTGAATAAGGCTTAATAAGGCTTATTAAGGCTTAATAAGGCTTATTCCCCTTGCTCTCTTCCTGAGGTCTCCCCCTCCGCCTCCGTCTCCGTCTCCGTCTCCGTTTCCGTCTCTGCCTCTGTCTCTGTCTCTGTCTCTGTGCCTGTGTCTGCCTGTGTGCCTGCCTGACTGCCGGTCTGTCTGTCTGTCTGTCTGTCTGTCTGTCTGTCTGTCTGTCTGTCTGTCTGTCTGTCTGTCTGTCTGGGTGGGTGGGTGGGTGGGTGTGGTGTGTTTGTTCTGCGTCTGTGTTTGCGTTTGTGTTTGTGCGTTGGCGTGGCCGCCATAGATTGCGTTGCACATTGCGTCGGGCCAAGTGGGCGTGTTTGGGAATCAGCCGGGCTTTGTGGCCAAGCAGGTGTGATGGGACATTGGATAGAAAAGTTTCGATGATGCCAGGTGCCACTTTTGTGATCTGAGGTGGAATTTTCCACTTGGCAAGACCCTTGGCGCATGGTTTGGAAAGTGTATATATGGAGCCTCATGTTGGATACCAAGGTGAGTTCCCACGAACACCCCCTCGGCGAAGAAAAATACAGGTGACGGTTGGATTCGGTAACAGTGTGCTTTAGAGGTTTGGAACTGTTCTTCTTTTTTGAATTGCTTAGGGTGGAGAAGAAGGGGACAGTTGCTGCAGAGAACATGGAGGTCAAGAAGCACGCATCATTGCCACTTGGCAACCGCGCCAAAAAGGTCAGGCCCCTGTGTGGCAGCATGGCAGCTGGAAGTTGGTCCGCCTTTCGGACGGTTGCGCTGCGGGGTTGCCTCTTTCGCGCCTCCACTGGCTTTGGGCCAGATTTGCCGGAGCTGAGGAAGTCTCGTCGTGCCCCAGCTGCTTGGCAATTAGAACTATGACCGGGCTGGCGGATTCAGTCAAGCTGTCTGCTTAACGCACCACTGAGTGCGTCCAAGCGCGTGCTCTGCTAGGTTACGTCTCGCGTGTCCATGCGGGACTCGCCTCGACAGGCGCGCGCTGAGCATTGGCGGAAGAAAGCCACTTTCCAGCCACTTTCTAGCCTCGGAGCCCAAAGTGCCATCAAAACATTTGGCTCTGCATCGAGTTATGGGCAGAAGGGATCTCCGTGACCTGAGATTCAGTCTCGCAGGAGTCGGTGCGCCGATCCCGAAACTCCACGGAGGCCTCCGAGGAGTTCGAGGGCGGAAGGCGGCAACAGAAACCCTGGCGGCTTCTTTGCCTTGGCTGAGACGTGACTACAGTTGGGCGATTTTTTGTAAAATAAATTTGCTTACCCTTCCAAAAGGAATCGTGCTTTCTTCTTCTTTCTTTTTTTTTTTGGGGGGGGGTGTGAACCTGAGCCACATGGTGATGTATTTTGGGCAGGAACCGTCACATTGGCCCTGATCTTTTGGACCAGATGTTTGTGAAGCAAAAGATGAGCCACTTGGCTTGTTCGTTCTGTGTAGCTATCCGGCATCAAGGATCAGTTGCAACATCTGTTTCCATGCATGTGCAATCCCTAGGCCCCCTGCGACGGGATGCTTGCCAGCTTCTCCGAATGTGCCTCGGTTGCGACCCAGCAGCTGGCGTGGCCTACAGGGCTTAAGAAGTTGCCCCTGGACACCTTGAAGTTGCACTGTCCGCAGTGTGGGGAGATCCTTGTTGCACTGTCAGCTTGAGGTAGCTCACAGCTGAGCGCACTTGCTTGAGGCAGCCGTTTCCAGCCACACGTGCTGAAGCTATGGAAGAGGCATAAGAGGGACAGGAGCCGCCGTTCAACCCCCTCAAGCTGCAATGTCCAGAAGTAGCAGCCCCACCAACTAGTGGCCAACACGCTAGACATGATCCAAGCAGCCTAAGCAACGCAGACACCCCCGTCCCAGGAAAACGGCACTTAATGAAACTCTCAGTGCCATGGATGCCTGTGGAGTGCGATGGAAGATGAAGCACAGGATGTGGCCTTGCGCGAGACTGCCACCAAATTAATTCGAGGCACAGGGGAGCTCTTTCCCAAAGAGCATGTGCAAAAGGCGCTGTCCAAGGTGGAGGAGGTGGAGCAGCCTCCTTTGAGTCTGAAGGGCGCGATCGCGGCATCCAGCTCAGACTCCTCAGAGTCTGAGTGCTCATCAAGGAAACGAAGGCTCCGGGCCGAATGCAGGACGCTACAGCAGCAGCTCCAAGAAAAGAAATCCAGCGAAGAGGGCTTCTTGGCGAGCATGATGGCGTTTTTCCGGGATGAGGACGGGAAATCCATCAACAACAGAGCCTTGGCTGAGTGTTTCGTGCTTCTTGTTCGGCGTTTGTTTGCTAACCAGGCGCTCTGTAGTGGTGTTTGCGCTGGCAGCTAGCACTTGCATGCGTGTCAGGAATGCATATCCAAGATCTTGTCGACCAATATGAGGACCTTACTGCGCGCCTGGCTTAGCTTTCCATGCGGGTTCTCGCAGGTCACGTCGCAAACAGGAACTCCAATCAGGAGACATGGAACATGACCCTTCTCAGAATCCCTTCTAAAAAGGCTCTAAGAGACTTTTTGGGGAGTGGGGGCCTTTGATTTTTGCCCGGAAGCCGATGAGGGGTCAAATCTGTCCGGTGAAGCGCAGGGAAGCGCAGCAAGCCGGCTTTCTTCTAGGCCTCTTTCTGCGTTTTGTGCACTTGTGCTAGCAAGTCCCCAGGCACTGTGAGCAGCAGGAACAAGAAGCCCAAGCCTTGCAGGCCTGCCTGGAGCTGATGGTCGTGCAACTCGGCTTGGTTTCGCGTGCCCGGGGGGCGGGGGTGGTTGAAGGAAACTTTCTGACGGCATCTTGGAGGCCTCAGCTGAAACCAGAGTTGCTTTGCCTTGTTTCAGTGCAGCTGCATGTCTGTGGCAATTCGTGTGGAAGCCTGGTTCACGCTTCAATTCAAGCACAGCATCCGAGCTTGAGTGCTTTGAGCCATATTGTTTTTGCTCATTCACGCTCGCATTGCTTTGTTGTCTTCACTTCTTGCAATGGACATACATTGTGTTTCTTCCCGCCCTTTGCCACCCTTCGACCCTTCAAGGCTTGCATTGGAACAGGGGCATGGTCTGATTCGCTCAGTTGCCCGCCAGAGCATGGGCGTTTTCGTTAGCTCACGTGTGTGTGTGTGTGTGCCAAGTGCTAGCCGCTCAGAAGTTGATCATATTGAGAGACTCCCGCAGTGGGTGGTGCTTGTCGAGCAGCAGTACACAGTTTTTCGCTCACACAAAAAGAGAAAAGTGGGTGCCAGTTTCAAGTGGTGCCTGCGGTAGCCCATGCACCCACAGATGTCGTGTTGCCTTCAAGGCAGTCAGGCAAAGCTGGTAGAATGAAGGGCGTGCCAGGATTTTCAGCCTGGGGATTGGCTAGCAAGTGGCCGCACAGCTTGCAATGAGCGCAATCGAAGCAGACCGCTTTCAAGTCTCATGTTTTAGTGTGATGTTTTACCAAGAGTCCGCAAAGATGTAGCTGGGCGGGGGGGGGGGGGGGCGCGGGATGAGGACAAACAGGTGCCACATTTTGGTCAAGACGTGTAGCTTCGACTCTTGGAGTAGCCCGGGTTGGGCTTAGAGCTACGTGAAGTTTTGATTTGTTTTTCTGTGTGGGGTTTCAGTTTTCAGCTGCTGGTGCGATTTCAGCCGCACTGGCCGTCATATCAGGTATGCCGAAGATGCCAAGCAGCGAAACACATTCCTCATTGAGATGCTGACGCAGCTGCTGTCCAGTCAGCCCAACATCCTACCAGGCTGCTGCGGGTGATAGGTAGTGGACGACAGTTGCCACTGCATAGTGTCACCGCAATGCAAGCGTGAAGAGTGATTGTAGCTTCAGTCTACGCGCTGTATGAGTGAGTATTTTCTTTGCTTCTCGGAAGCCTCGGCTAGGCGAGGAGGAGGAAGATGGCCAGGTGGCATGGACGGAATGTGTCAGGGAGTGCTTCCTGCGTCTGGTGAATGACTGCAACATCTGCACGGAGCCGCCGGCAGTCCTTGGCACTGCCGCTGGTTTCTGAAACATGGCTCCCGTGGCTTGTGTGTTAGCCCGCGCCTGGGTGGTCTCGACAAAGTTGCCAACATCGTGGGGAATCAGACGTATTCATGACATGCTTCAACTTGCAAAGTGGCTTCATCGCCTTTGCGTTTTCTTCCATTGGCTTGTGCTGCGCTTACTTTTGTGCTAATGTCCTCATGCGTCCTTCTGTACGTTTGCCTGTTTGAGATGGGCCTGCTGGTCTCATGTGTCTCCACAGCCCCCTGGTACGGATGTTTCTAGTCGCGTCGCTGTTGCCGCACCCTCCCCAGCCTTGCAGGAGAACATGCTGCGGCGCCGCAACATGTTCCTGGACCGCTTGGAAGACGCAAAGCGGGAGAACAAGGATTGCACACGTGATTGCGTACAAACAGTGTTCGCCCAGCTGCTGTCCTGCGCATGTGCCCAGTAAGCGATGTTTGGGCAGATGTTGTCCTTTCTCCGCTGCCTTGGAACGCCTTGTGATCTTGTTGGCAGGAGCATGCTTTGCAGATGGCCATGTTGATGCAGATGACCACACAATCGCGGGAGCTATTAGATGGGTAGCTGGGCAACACACTGGGAGGGCAGCCGCGCTCTGCAGGCGGTAAGTCTTTCTTCGAGAGTGCAAAGCTGGCACGTTATCAGTTTGATCAAGCAGATTGGTTTTTGCCTTTGCTCGGTTGGTGTTGGGGGCGGCAAAAGATTGCCGTCAGTACGTGCAATATGCCATGCAGCCCAGGTACAAGCGCCGCTACTTCTGGGATGGTGTCAGTGTCCCGCCTGCAGAGCCAACTTGGGCACATTAGATTGGTGAGGCCCGCAGCACGCGTCTCAGAAACCATGCGCGATGTTTGAATATTTTGGATCTCGAGGCCATAGCTTCAAGACCCCTGGCGTCCAGCTGCCGAAGCTGCCCATTGCTGAACCTGAGCTCGACACGCCACACTCGGCGCGCAAGGCACAGGATGGTGAGAGAGTGGCCGAAGGTACGATTCATGCTCCTGCCAGTTGTACGGAATGAGTGCAAGGTTGGGAGGTCAGGCTTGGAGCAGGTTGGGGAGAAGGAAAGCATGCCTCTCCTTAGGATGGGTCCTTTGGGAAGAGGGCACCCTGTGTAGGCAGAAGAGCCACCGCTGCCGGAGCTGCCAGAGTCAGAGGATGAGCCCTCGCCGACAAACGAGAAGCAGCCGGAGCAGGAGCCCGAGGTGTCAGAGGCAGAGCCCAGATTGGCACCGCAATGCCAGAGGCAGGGCTTGAGAGCAGCTTTTGGGTCCCACCATTGCTCACGGGCACGCAAGGGTTTGCAAGGCCTTGTGTGTCCGCTTTAAGTCACAGTTGAGCGACATCTGCGTGAGAAACACTTGAGAGTGAGAGTTGCGGAAGAGCTTGCCCACTGCTCAGGCATGTTCACAGCCTACTACCTCAAGCGATTCGCCTTTTGCAGCCCCACTTCCGATACTATTCCCCTCCACGGCTTCCTCCAGGTCCACACCCTAAGCCAAGCCCTGCCGGATGTCAGCTTCCAGCGAGGCCGCCAGGGCTTCCAACAACCTTCATGTGCGAGCCTACAACAGCTACCTCATCCGCAGCACCGACCAGGAGGGTCCTTTCGCCACCTCGGATGCTTGTCTCTTCGCCCCCCCGTGTGCTTGCCTCCCCACCCCGGGTGGTCACATCCCCTCCCCGGAGGGTCCTTTCGCCACCTCGGATGCTTGTCTCTTTGCCCCCCCGTGTGCTTGCCTCCCCACCCCGGGTGGTCACATCCCCGCCCCGGTTCGCTGCTGTGGGGGCAGTTGGGGCGAGCTGCTTTTGCAGCGGCGGCTCCTTGCTGAGAGTTCCCTCACCAGTGCCAGAGTGCACAGCTACACGACGGGCCATGGCACCCGGTAGCACTGCGCCCAAAAGGGCCTCTTCCCCACCCCCTCGCTATGTCAGGGGCGAACGAATGGGCCGGGGAAGACATTCTTGCGAGGCGAGAATGCCAGCCGCTCCCGCGCCCTGTGTCTTCTGTTCTGGCACACCCTGCTTGACTCCAGCACCAAGTCCAGCTGGCTGTGCTTTAAGCGCTGCTGGGCACTGTGCATCATATCCACCCAGCTTTGCACGGCCCTGCCTAACACCGCGGCAGAGCATCGGCTGCTCTGGCCCCCGCCAATCTTTGGCACCAACCTGGGAATCTCATGGCCACTCACCGCCGGTGAGGCGCGCCCCACATGTCTTTATGGGGGTAGTCAGGTTTTCGCTGTTAGGAAAGGAAGCCATGTCAAGCAACAGTTGAGCTTGGATGCTTGGTAAGCTTGGATGCTTGGTAAGCTTGGTTGCTTGGTTGCTTGGTTGCTTCGTTGCACGACTGCGTAAGCTTCGTTGCACACTTGTGGTTGCTTGGTTGCTTGATTAAGCTTGAGATTGGTAAGTTTGGGCTGGTCAGGTGATATCAGAGGTTGACGTGTGTCTTTGTCAGTGCCGGCTTCCTTGGCGTACTTTTGCCACAAGTGTGCCAACCGTGTCAGGCTGCCTGCGCGTTCTCCCTCGCCAGTGCCACCAGGCTGGACGGCAAATGCGTCTCTTTTTTGAAAAGAAGCACGGGTGCTAAAGCCTGCGCAGGCTCAGCAAGAGCCGGGTTTGATGTGTTTGAGGTTCTTTAAAAACTTGGCATGCAGCGAGGAAAGAGGGAGGCCTCAAGTGCTTGTAAGTTTGATCTTCAGGGAGCGCAAGCCGTAGCTGCACACTCTTGTGGCTTCTGCACACCAGGGCACTTGCTTCTTGAGTGTTTGCAGGTCCTACAAGCTCGGGCTGCTGTGCCATCCTCCCAGCAAACGTCGAGCGCAGAGTAATGAACGCGCACAGGCCGAGTCCTTTGAGCCGGTCTGTGCAGGCGCCCGTCGTACAAAGTCAAGTTTCACCGCCCAAACTATACTGGGCAACAGGAGCGCCGCAAGGGATATGAATGCGAAAAGAGCCTTCTTGTTCCTGGCATCTTCAGCTGAGGTTGAGAAAGGCTGTTCAGGATACCAGCCTTGCCCAGGTTTGTCTTCGGGGCCGTTGGGAACGAGCGCCTTGGGAGCATGAACCTGGAATCATCCGCACATTGCTGCCCCTGGAGTCTAGAAGTCGCATGAAGCTGCTTCACCTGCTGGTGACATTTTTCCTGGCTCACGACATGTTTTTACACTTTGGCATGTTCCGTGGACTCGTATCGTCCACCAAGGAACTGCAAGAACAGGAGGGAGCGCGAGAACGTGCTGCTTGCTTGGATTAGCCATACTCTGGCAACATCTTTTGGGTGCAGAGTAATCCAACTAGGGGCCTTTGATCGGAGAGTAGTGGGGGAGAATCCTAGCCAGAACTGGGTGCGGCCCCATTCTGACTTTTTGCCGAGTAGACCCCTTAAACACAGGGTTTGATTGTGACTCTGTTTGAGATTGCGCAGGTTCTTTGAAAGCTGTGGCGCTGGTCTTAGTCGGCAGGCTGGTGCTTACGTTTAGAGCGGCGCAATTCCTCACTAATTATAGCGAGCTCACATCGGGGTAAGACGAGCTTACCCAGAATGAGGGTTCCTCACTTGTGGAATCCTTATTTCTTGCAGGATGCTCAATTCAGTTTTGTGAGAGTTTTGCAGTACCGCGTGCAGATCCTTGTTTCTCCCAACTCCTCCACGCATTTGTCCAGCGGTCGCAAGGCGAGGTGGCATGTGAAGGCTTGATCACTGTCCACAGGCTGTCATTGAAAGATTGTCATCAATTTTTGACCGGACAGTGTGAGGGAGGCAGCTCATGGGCACGGATGCACCATTCGTCACATGCTCTATAATTGTAAACGCTTCGCGTTGCCCGCCTCGGCCCAGCCCAAGCAACAGAGCTAGTCAAGTGGCGACTCATAGGTGTGCGGCATGGAGCCAAGTACTGCAGTGACGCTGCGCAATGGACAGGTCTGGCTGGGCTGAGCTAGGCCAAGCGAGCTAGGCTGCACGTCTGGGCAGGGGAGACTTAACACGCGCAGTTGGATTGAGCTGGACTGCGCTGGGCTGAATTGGGGGCTGATCTGGGCTGGGAGGTCAAAGACCGCTAAACTTGGGCTGGACTGGCTGCGCAGTTGTCTCACAGAGTAAGTGCTCGAAAAATCCAGGCCCACGGGACAGGGTCGGGGGGCGGGGTGCGAAAATTTTGGTTGAGAAAAAGATTTGAGCGCCCTGCGCCTAAGGGGCCGGGGCGAATGTACCATTTGCGTTTGTTTCTTCGAGCTGGCCGCGCCAGTGCGGCAGTGAGTGGGGCCTGTTGCCATTGAGGTACCAAGGATGACATGCTCAAGCTGCTACAGGCCTGGGATAAGGTTGAGCCTTGGCTGAAGTGCAAACAGTAGACAAGGCGGAAATGGCCGCAGCGCGAAAGCTGATCATCTGGCTTTCAGGCAGATTTGCCACACATACCAGGGCTGTTGCAGGCGAACGAAACAATGCAAACAAGCGTGGGAATTTTGATTCGGGAAGAATCTGGATGAACCTCGCCTGGCCAAGGACACCAACGACTCTGGCCGAATTGACATGGGGGAGCTGCAGCGCCTAGCAGATCGCGGCGTGGCGAAATTGCCGACAGGGGTTGAAGCGGCGAAGCCCATGAGTCGCTGTTTCGATTGGTCATGTGAAGAACCACGGTAAAGTTACAAGTTTGCGAGACACTCATGTTGCCGCCTGGGGCCCCCAAGTACAAAGCTTTGCGCCCGCGTCTTTGCTTGTTGGCGCGTTTTGTCATGCCGCTGCATAGCTGTCCAGCATGAGGTCTTATGATTGACGTTGCTGCGGCCTTCGCTTGGTCTCTCGGCCAATCATGGCAGGGCATACTGCAGCTGGTGCCGGAGATTCTTCTTGTGGGATGAAATATGTTTCCCCGTCTTTCTTTCTTTCTTTCTTTCTTTCTTTCTTTCTTTCTTTCTTTCTTTCTGTCTTTCTGTCTTTCTGTCTTTCTGTCTTTCTGTCTTTCTGTCTTTCTGTCTTTCTGTCTTTCTGTCTTTCTGTCTTTCTGTCTTTCTGTCTTTCTGTCTTTCTTTCATTCATTCATTCATTCGTTCGTTCGTTCGTTCGTTCGTTCGTTCCTTCCTTCATTCATTCACTCACTCACTCACTCACTCACATTCATTCATTCATTCATTCATTCATTCATTCATTTCATTTCATTTCATTTCATTTCATTTCATTTCATTTCATTTCATTTCATTTCATTTCATTTCATTTCATTTCATTCATTCATTCATTCATTCATTCATTTTCATTCATTCATTCATTCATTCATTCATTCATTCATTCATTCATTCATTCATTCATTCATTCATTCATTCATTCCATTCATTCATTCATTCATTCATTCATTCATTCATTCATTCATTCATTCATTCATTCATTCATTCATTCATTCATTCATTCATTCATTCATTCATTCATTCATTCATTCATTCATTCATTCATTCATTCATTCATTCATTCATTCATTCATTCATTCATTCATTCATGTTCCTTCCTTCCTTCCTTCCTTCCTTCCTTCCTTCCTTCCTTCCTTCCTTCCTTCCTTCCTTCCCTTCCTTCCTTCCTTCCTTCCTTCCTTCCTTCCTTCCTTCCTTCCTTCCTTCCTTCCTTCCTTCCTTCCTTCCTTCCTTCCTTCCTTCCTTCCTTCCTTCCTTCCTTCCTTCCTTCCTTCCTTCCTGCCTCTCTCTCTATCTCTCTCTCTCTCTCTCTCTCTCTCTCTCTCTCTCTCTCTCTCTCTCTCTCTCTTTTTCTCTAAGCATGCATGTCGCACATTTGTGCGTGCGAGCGTGCGCGCGCACTCGTTGTGCTTCTTTTGCGCCCTAGCATGGACGTCTGTGCGGACTGTGCTTGTATTGCACTGCTCCAGAGGTACTGCTGATGTCATAATGTGAGCACTGACCCAGAATGTTGAGGACAGGTAGGTTGCGGAAGTACTGTCTTGCTGGGGTTGATTGCTGGTCAATTTTGCGCGCTTGCTTGCTCGGCCCCTTTGGCCTGCTTCTCAAGCGGCCGCCACGCAGCCACCAAGCAAAAGATGGGCCGAAGGGGCAAATCATGGGCAGCCGAGGCAGGAGAACATCGGCATTAGTGGTGCCAACATGGACAAGCTCAGTGTGGGCCTTGTCCGGCCTTGTCCCACGGTTTCACAAGGGTTAAACTACGTTTCAATTCTAGTCGCTGATGAGCTCCGGAACATGTCAGTTGGCAGAATCTGCACGCAAGTTGGCTGCAAGCCTGTTTGAAGAAGCAAGATTGCCCAAGGCGGCTGTCGAATGCCTGCATGGATCGAAAACACTTCAGTGGAGGAGAACTGGTTGTAAGGGGGTTTGTGTGGCCTGCCCTCTCCCACGCCAGCATCCAAGTGCAATCGTTCCTTTGGCAGGAGCGCGTTCGCTTTGTGCACAAGCTTTGCGAACGTTTGACAGCAGCGCAGGGCTCAGAATTGCTTCTAACCAGCCAGAGTGTCGAGGATTGTCCCTTGCGCTTCTTTCTTCCAGAAAGAAACTTATGACGCCCTGGACGCACCACACGCCTTAGCATGGGATGCTTCGCCGTCTCGTGGTTGGGCAGTGCCAAGGTGCTATCCACAGCTCGCAAGTCAAGCTTTTGCCTGGAGGACTTTCCTTCATTTTTCGTGAGATTACGACAAACCATTTGCAGTTTTTCCTGGCAAAGGGAGCTTTTGACTTTGAGTTTTGCCCCCATCTTCAGTTTTGGTTTTGCGTGGGCCTTCAGCAGGGATGAGCAGAAGATGCACATGTTTTTTTGCCCCTTGCCGAAATGAGTGTAATTTGGAGGGGTTCTCCTTGTTTGAAAAGGCTAAGGCTGGAAGAATGGTGAGGAGAGTAAGGCAGGAGGGAAGTTAGTGCAGGCGAAGGGCGAATCTTGTAAAACGCGTGACAAGGCAATTTTTGGCCCTGGCGCGTGTACATGATGAAGAGCACACACCCCCCACCAAAGAATTCATGCACGGTTGCCCTGCAACCGTGTCGCTGCCTCTGCTGCTAATGCTGAGAGCTTGCCAGGACCTGATGCGACTGATCTGGTCCTGCTCGTCAGAAGAAGACTTGCGCCAGATGCGCAGCTGGTGCGAGGAAATCAATCACACTCGCCACTTGGACCATTGTCAGTGCGTTCTCGACTTGTTTGTTGCCAACACTTTGGCATGCAAATATCGAATGCATTGGCCGTGCGGGAGTGAAACTGGTAGCATGCAGGCGACAAGTGGCGGGTCAGTCCACCACCGGTCTTGCCTGAAGAAGAGAAGGCCGCCCTGCAGGCGGGATTCGGAACAATGCATCTTCAGGGATCGCAGGGTTTCATCGTTTCGATGAGGCCGGAAGGCATCCGCAGCCGCTCTCCCAAAGGGGCAACGATTTTATTCTAGAGGCCTTGGAGCATCACTGCAATCCGTGGAGCCTCGGGTCTTTTGTGGGGGCGAGCACACCTTGGTGGTGGCACCAGGCGGAGTGCTGCTGCAGCTGGGAGCCTGCGGTTTGGGCTTCGACTGGGCCAAGGGGACTGGCAACTACGTGGCGAAGGTGCCAGTGGCAGGGCCATTCAAGGCCGTTGTCGCAGGCTACTACCACAACATTTTGGCGACCATGGGGCAATGCTTCAGCTACGGCTGTGGACGCCAAGCTTCGAACGATGGGCAGTTGGCCAGGTCGTCGACGGACGAGCATGCAACACCGCTGCTAGTTCCTTCCTTTGCTCAGGGGTTTTGTGGTGGGCACCATAGTGTTTTGCTGATGTCCAACGCACTGCGCGCCTGTGGTGCAGGCTGGCAAGCTCAAATGGGCAACGGCCGCATGGACCACAAGAATCCCAATCTGCAGACAGTGCAAATCAGCCAAGCCCTGAAGACACAGCTTCTTGGCGGTGTCTATTACCACAATGCTGCTTCAGGCAAAGGTCGTTGCGAGGTCTGGGGTTGCAATGAGAACGCCAGCTAGGTGGTACGGAGGGTACGGAGGACCACGTGCAGGTGCCGCAGAATCTTCGTGATCGTGTGGATTTGCCGGGCGAGATAGAGGCCTTCGATGGCGGTTACAGCCACTCCGTGGTGCTTGTTGGCGGCCGAGTGTTTTGCTTCGGTGCGAACGAGTTCAATGCGGTGCCGACCGGGCGGAGAGTGAAGACGGCCTTCCGCAGGTCCCGCTGCCCGGCCAGGCGCTGGTGGATGGCAAAGTCTCGTGGGGCTCCAATGTATATGGCCAGGTCTCAGGGGATGCAGCAGTGGGCGATGCTGTGGCGACACCGCGTCAGGTGCCCATCCCGGACGTGCATTTGCCATGCAGCAGCGCAGGGCAAAGCTGGCGGCATTTATTTGTGGGGGTGCGGGGAGAATGGTCAGACCGGACTTCAGCACCTGCCAGAAGCTAGTACGTGTCGGCCTCGCGGAGGGCCAGCGATACATGCTGCGCCTTTTCATGCCACGCCTGGTCCATCGCCTTACCTGCTCCAACACACGAACACAGAGATGCCCCAACCTGTTTCACTGCAGTGCAGGGGGGTCCGCCTGCCATCGGCTTGGTCTTGATGTGTTGGCCAATGGCTCATCCCACGGCAAGGTCTGTCGACGCAATGCCTCGGAAATCCCTCACGTATTGGACATCGACCAAATTTCCTTGCCATGCCTTGTGAAGCGCTAGGCATTGGATCCTTTCAGCCAGATACAGGGCGTGCAGGGGAAGATCCCCGAGTCAAAAAAACATTTGAGGGCCCAGAAAAGAAGGACACGTGTTCTGACAGGCGTGAGATGGCGTGAGGAATTTGGATCGGTGCAATTCCTGCTCGGGCTTTGCCTGCCATGTTTCATTTCTTTGGCCTCGGCATCAAGCTGCCATTAACCATGGCAGTGGCCAGCATTGGGCATGTGTGCTGTTCTGGGCTGCTTGACGCTGGCCTACATTGCAACTCGCTCACACTGTTAATTTGGAAAGGCAGTCTTCAACTTCTTTGACAAAGACAGCGGGGGCACGGTCACTGCCAATGAGCTCATCATGTCTGGCCTCATCGCTGCTTGACTGCATGTTTGCGGGGTGCTTGTAGTAAAGCCATGTTTTGCTTTCACAGGCGTGTTGGCTGCGCGAGCTACCAAAAGGGATGCATTGACTTTCTGTGGCCCAGATAAAAGCACACAAACACGTAAATGCAACATTTGCATGACCTTCTGGGTAGTGCGAGCGAATCCTTGTGATATGTGCCCTTTATTGGGTGAACAGTGGCAAGTGCAGCCTCGTGTAGCCAGCCTTTTTTTAGGCACCGGCTCGAGGTAATGGATGTTGGTACAGTGCTGCGCATCCTTTGAAATAGGCATGTAAGATCATGCCGGCATGGGGCATGACACCTTTTGCAGCAGCCGTCATGCATGCCCAGTTAATCCTCAGCCAGCACGCTTGGGCTCCAAGATGTTGTTGCAATGGTATAGGCCCTGCCCGTGAAGACACCGCCCTTTTCTCGCAGTGCGGGGAATCCTGTCATTCGTTGCAGCACTGCTGGCCAAGGACAAGGATTACGCCAAATCCTTCATCCGTGCCCTGGCATTCTGTGGTCATTTGCACATACCTGCAGTGACAAACGCGGTGCTTGGTGCTTGCAGGAGTTTCAAAAGGCAAGTACGGCAGGTGTGTACGAGAACAAATCACAACGTATTGGAGAGTTTTGCCGCATGCCATCAACCTCCCCTCCCCAAAAGGCCGAAGCATGACATGGAGGCAGCTATCGCATATGAGTTGCGCTGCTTATGAATGCTTTGGAAGATTTTGCTGGGCCTGATGCCCAGGACAAGTGGACACGGATGGAAGCGGTGAGATCGATATTGTCGAGTTTTGCGAGCTGCCTCCCGGAATCAACTTGGCGTCGCGATGTGCGAGCTTCGGTATTGTCGTTTGTTCCTTGTCCCCGAAGTAAAAGACCCCTTTACAAAGAAACACGGCACACATCCCCTGGGGAAAAAACAAGCATTCATTTTTAAAATTAGTATTTGGGCCCTTTGGGTTTCTGTCTTGCTGATCCGGCAAAGGATTTAAGCAACTCCACCATGTTCAGGATGATGAGGTGCGCACCGCATTGGTTCTATTGGGTCTCCTAGCGCCACTGGAGTTGTGGGAAAGTTGCTGGTTTAGATTGAGCTATTCCAATTTAGCATTGGGGACCGGGCTTTTGGAAAACACAGCTTTGCTTGGGGGATCTTTCTGAAAGTAGCCCCGCTGCAAATCAACATGCAATTCCAAGCATGATGTTCTTGGGGGTTAGCTTCTCGCAGCATGACAACGTGGCGTAGTTTCCAACGGCCGTCAACATCAGCGAGCTGTCTGGCTTCTTTTGATTGATTGAAGGCTTTCTGGCCACCAGGCAGCCCAAAGGGATGTGCACGCCTTACAAGCACCCGACTCCCCGCGACTCCCTTTCGCTCCTTGGATCCTTGGATCCTTTTTGCCGCTTAGGATGTGTCCCCACGGCTTCCGTGCCACTGAGAAGTCCGTGGTGGGCAGCACCTGCCTGGGCCAGGCTGCGCGCCGGGGCCCCTGGCCGGAGTCTGACCGGCAAGCCGGGGATTTGGCGTCCGTGCGCTTTTGGACTTTCCGGGAATCCGCAGGCCATTGGTTTAGGCACGGACTTCAGGGGGGCTCATTTTCCATAGATTGCCCCAAGGATCTTATCAAGAGCAAGGTTGGAGCCCTTACCCACATGAACAAAGGGCCAGCGCTTGTGGCTAGCTTCCACGGACAGGCCGGAATTTCATGCGCAGGGGCAAGTTGGCGAGGGTAAGCAAATGTAGCCGCGGTGGCCAGAGGGCAAGTGACGCAAGGGTGAGTGCGTCGCTCCTGAACGCTGGGAAAACCGTCGCTTCGGAACGCTGCTTAAAAATCGCATCGGAACGCCGGAAAACGTACTAATCGCTTAGGAAGGCTGAAAGCGCAGCCACATGCCACGCGCTGCACCGAGACACCGGCGAGTGCTTTGCTCTTGAACGCTGGGACAAGAATCGGCGCTCATGCGTCCACGCGCTTTCATAGCAGCTTGCAGTGCCTGACGTTTGGCATGCGCAGAGAATTGCCCTCATTAGAGCTCAGTTGAGCGGGTGTGCTTATCACCCCCCCCCCCCCGCCCCCCCCCACACAACAAATTGATTGGATTTTGCACACCCTGGCTGAGATGAAGCAGTTCAGCACCAAATTTGCACATTCGGTTACAGAGCTGGGCTGGTTCAGTTGAGCGGGCGTGCTTACCATCCCGCCCCCCCCCCCCAGAACAAATTGATTGGATTTTGCACACCCTGGCTAGAAATGAAACAGTTCAGCGGGATGTTCGCCTTGGCGGCGCTGCGACAAGCGCAAGTGACGTCCCGGGAAGCGGCGCGCGCGGTGTCCAATACCCCAGCCCCCACGCCTAGAACCAGATGAATTTTGCACATTCGGTTACAGAGCAGGCTGGAGTTGAGCGGGTGTGCTTACCACCCCCCCCCACCCCTCCCACAACCACTAGACCTTGACTGGGATGCCTGCCTGCGTTCGGAAGTGATCCTTGGCTGGGACGCCCGCGTTCGGAAGTGACCATTTTTACATGACTGGGTTTTGCAACCCTTTCGGCGTTTTGAGTGCTCAGTGTTCTGAAGTGATTTTTTTTGAGTGTTCGGAAGTGATCGAAAGTGGCAGCGTTCAGAAGTGATTTTTTACCGTTCGGAAGTGATTGTCTACCTGACGGAAGAAAGGGCTTTCGCTCCCTCCCTAACATGCTCAAAAGCCATTCTCTGCCAGTCTCGAACATGTTCCCGACCAGAGCTGGAACGGTGCCATGGCGACTTTGAAATCTGGCTGGCGGCGACCGCACTCCATCCGCTTTACCGTGCTTTCTCCATTGTAGACTCGGGTTCTGGGCTTGGCGGGGGCTTCATACTTCAGCCATTTGTGTTGTTCTCGAGCCGGCCAAGCGGTGGCCTTGCCGGAGGCTACAATGTGGATACCAAAACGTGGCGGCTGACTGTCGCAGCCTGAGTGGGCTGTACCCACTGGCTTCGTTGCTTAATGTAGCACGCATTGCGCCGCTTTCTCCGAATTGGTGCGACACAAATTTGTGAAATGTGTTGCACTTGGTGTGAGAGGGGGGAGTCCCAGGAGGCGCCCCAGGAGGTGCGGACACAGCACCGTCGCTCCAAGCTAGGCAGGAGACTCAGGGTGGAAATGAAGCCACTTACTTTGCTTCCCCGTAGTACGTGGCTTTTGCTAGCTCGACTAGCGGGAAGATTCTTCTCACAAGAGATTGGGAAACAGTCCATGCACCCGGCTGCAGAGAGACACACTGGCTTGCTTGTCAAGCAAGCTTGCGACCAATGAGCTTCGCCAACTTGCCGGGCCATGTGGCCAGCAAGCGCTGACAACTGAGGCTGACTCCCAACATGGTGCGGCCTGGCGTGTGCCATTAGAAGTCTTTCAGGTTGCAGTGGCCCTCCTTTCGATCAGTCTGCCATCTCTTGCATATTCGGGGCAGCTGCAGCCTGCTGGGTTGTCCCGAGCCTCCTGAGGGGGTGAGGCAACACGCCTGGGAAGGCAGGAGGGTTCCCAAAACCCCAGCTTTCAGATTTCAGGTTTGTTGGACACGACTTGAAGCCGAGACTAGCCTGCTGAAAGCAGCAATGTCCAGACCAGGCAGCCTCCGGTAATCCGAGGCATTCATGACTGGTAGAGGGGAGGCAAAACAGGCAAGGCGTTTCGACATTCAAGCAGGATTCGAAAATGGATGGATAAGGGCATTCATTTCCAACGCCTTGCGTGCCTTGCGTGCCTAGCTTCAGCGGGCAGACGTGCAGCTGAGCCGCAAAACAAATACTGGGCGCCTTTTGCATGGTTCTTGCGGGGCACTGAGCACCCTCATGCCATCCCAATTTCATGAACGAGCAAAATCCCGTAGCCGTATGGACAAGGCCAACAAAAGCAGTGCAGTCCATGGGCCTTGAGGTGAATTGAGCCAGAGCAAGCACATGGCAGAGGCGTTCCCGCACCGGCTACTGTGTCCGCCTAGGGCTCTCGGGCACTCGCGCGATGCTCATCGATGCTTGGCTGGAGTTCTGTCATGTCGTGCAACTCCAGCGTGGGGTTTGTCAATGACGCTGAGGTTTGTGGCCCAGTGCGAAGGCAGGGGGTACTTTAGCAGAAGGGTGAAGAAAGACGAGGCTCAGGCTAGATGCCACGGCAGGAGGTTGGGCTGCAAAATATTGAGCTTTGTTCGTATCATGCTATTCTGTGCGCCCCCAATCCGACCTGACTATGGGGCCACTCTCCATCTGCACCAGGCAGCACTTTCTGCTTGCGCTGCTAACCACCACCGTTGGCGGTTTGGTGGCGGTCACCTGGCATGAGACTGGCGCCGTGCAGGTTTCTTGGTTTGGGCACAACTGTGTGGCCTTAGAAGCATGAAGCTTCAGACAACACAAGGATCCCATTCAGATTCTCTAGCTGAGGCGCATATTGTAGCTACCAGGGCAGTGGCAGTTGTTTTCATTGTTGATCTCTTGCTCGGCGTGCCCAGGTGTGCGGGCAGTATCTTTTCAATGCGCCAAACTGGCCCGGCTCCTAGAATGATGATGTGGACCTAGCTAAAGCTTTTGTCAGGTAAGAATACTGTAAATTCCAGCTGAAAGAATGCTAAGGCTAAGGGACATGCTGGGCGGCAGCTTATGACTTGAACTGAGGATTGTACTGCTGGGCTTGGTTGTGGCGGTGGCGTGCGCCCTAGCACTCCGCATGCGCTGCGAAGCAGTTTGGCAGGCGAAGCCGTTGTTATCAAAATCTGCGAGACGGATGGGATGCATGTGTGCACTTGGCCTGGCAATGCCTCACACCAAGACGGGCGTGCTCCAGACGATTCTCTTCCTGCCTGCGGCTTGGGAACAGGAGGAACTGAGGTGAGGAGGGAGTTCCAGGCAGAACTGTGCATGGCACAGCCGGCAATGGGACAATTCAAGACGGGCTGGCGCGCCGACAAGGCACATGAAAGATGATGACCTCCACCCGTGTGATAAAGCTCGCCAGCTCATGTTGGTGATGCGCTCAGGGTGCAGCTGTCCATGTTCGGCTGGTTCGGGGCAAAGGCCGGACGATTCAGGGGCAAATGGGCAAAGATGAGCATCAAGTAGTCCAACAGCTTTCCAAAGTGGGGGAAGATGCTGGCGCCGTGTGCTGCACGCAGGCAACAGTCTATGCGTGTAACTACTGCGGGACGCAATTCCCGACCTTCGAGGCGGGAGTGGGAGATGCTGCGAGCAATGCAGAGAAACTCTGTAGTTGCGGCGCATGCGCTTGGTTGCTTGCTTGCTAGCTGGCTGGCTGGCTGGCTGGCTGGCTGGTTGCCTGCCTGCCTGCCTGGCTGGCTGGCTGGCTGGCTGGCTGGTTTGCTGGTGGGTTTGTGGGTTTGTTTGTTTGTTTGTTTGTTTGTTCGTTCGTTCGTTCGTTCGTTCGTTTTTCGGTTCGTTCGGTTGTTGGTTTTCCATCTCATCTCGCTCCAGGAAGCCAGTAGCCACGAGCAGCTCTGCTGCTTGGAGATGACTTAGCGGCAAACTGACCCAAGCTGCAGAATGCAATTGTTGCGTATCAACTGAAGGTTTCCAGAGCATGGACTGTAGACACTGTGTTCTTTCTTTTGTTCCTTTCGTTCACCGGCTCAGGCTCATACGGGCCTGGCGCGGACGTTCCAGTAGGCGGGGCCACAGGGCAAGGCAGACTGGCAGACTGAACGACAAATGGCTACATGCTGTGACCAGCATCAGTGTTTATGTTTTCGAATTAACGTACTTTGACAGTCTTTCACTCGTCTTTCTCGTCTTTCTCGTCTTTCTCATCTTTCTCGGCTTCCTTGCTGTCGGTTATGAGTGGCAGGTGGCTCTGTCACAGTGCGGAGCCTGGTGATTTGGCTTAGTTGAACTCTTCTGCCCTTAGCGTGGCGTGGCCAACTTCGAGAAACGACCTTTTGCCAGATGTTCTTAAACACGAATAACTTTGTGTCTAGCACGGCCGTTTAAGAACTACTCCCTGGTGAGAGTGTCTTTGCCATTGACCGGTGCTTTCTGCCAGCGTTCTGGCTCGAAGCCCAGCATCGCTCGCTTGTAGCCGTGGGTGCATTTGGCATTTCCCTCCGGGTCACGCACAACAGCAAAACAGCACGACACACGTAATAAACATATGATATGCAGAGGCCAGGTGCAAGCTCAATCGCCTAGCATCATGGGTTAGTCCAATGAGATGACCAGTGCTGCTGGCGTCGCGAGAGTATCGCAAGCGGCCCAGCTCTTGTTCCTGTACTTGCCTGGCACCCTAGTGCAAGTATCCTGCTCTGCTCTGTCCAGGATGCGCTCGCCGAGAAATGGAAGCTCGGCGTGCTGACAAGGCAACCGTTTGGAATGCATGGTTTATTATTTCCAAGCCCTGTGATGTAAACATGGCATACCAGCTTCAGGACATCTGCAAGGTTTTAAACAGACAGGCCTTGGCTGTATATCTTATCGGCTCCCAGATGATGAGAAACAGCTCAAAAGCTGCAAGAGTAGTAGCTAGTCGCAGGGGAGAGAGAGAGAGAGAGAGAGAGAGAGTAGAATGCTAGCTGGACCGGTGGTGTGCACAAGGCCCTTTGCCCTACGCTGCACAGGCTTCGTTTGGGCGCGAAATATGGGATAGCCATACCTGTTGTGTGCGGCCATGGTCCTGGTGCCAAAACGGAGCTGGCTTGGTGTTTTCTTCGCCCTGTACGTGCACCTCTGGCGGGCACACCGGAAGCTGCGCAGCACGCCCGAGGACGTTGTCAGCGTGAATAATTACACACGATATGAGGAATGCCATTGTTAATTTTGATCCAAGCAGCGAGGCGTGTACCTTGGGGAGGGGGATAGTTCAGGATTGTGGGCACAACGTGGTGTGACGGTGCCGTTTCTCAGTAGAATCTGGGAAGCCTGGGGTACATAGTATGGTAGGGGATCCACTGGTGCATGTGGCACATTCTTGGGATACTTGTTTGCCGCCTGCTGCAATGACACATTCCCCTCCTGTGTGTGCCTAAATGGCACCGGGCAGCACGATCCACGGAACTCATAGTTTCGCCAAGATAAACCAGCGCAAAGCCATCTAATAGTTGGCAAACAAAGCAAGTCGATGTGAGGTGACAAGTTTCGCACGTGCGGGGCAGAGGTTTGCCCATGCGCACAGTTGGAGAACGTTGCAAAACCGCAAGAATCGCCGGCGCCGATGCCTTGTTGTTAGTCGTTCTGCGCAGTGTTCGTAGAACTGCTGGTGTCGGGTTGCCTGCGTCACTCCTGCGGCTGCCTGTTCTTGCTGTACAGCTCTTGCGCCGCAGAGAGTCCGCAGAACATGACAAGTATGCCCAGTTGTTCTGATTCGTAGGCAATACAGGGCATGTATATATATATATATTGCACGTGATCCGCGTGACTTGGCATGCATGGCATGCCCTGGGTAACCCACAATCAGCAAACCACAGTGATCCTGACCAGCAGCTTTTCCTGCGTGGGCGGGCCCAGATGAATGGAACCCTGGTTGTGATTGACATCCATGGAACCCCAGGATTACTGCACCCCCCGGTGTTTAAGAAGAAATCCTACAGTTTTGGAGGGATGTCACTCCATTCATCCACGTGAATGATTTCGGGGTCGTGTCACGCAGGAGTTCTCCTACGCCCAGCTGAGCGCGCCGCTGCTGGATGCGCAGGTGCACGACCTGGAGGCCGGCGAGCGGCGCATCCGCGCGGTGGCGACGCCGCCCGGGTGGTCCGGGAAGACCGTGGTGCTGGTGCACGACCTGAAGATGCGGCTGGAGACCTGGTCCCTGGCCGGGGCCTCAGTGGAGCAAGCACGTTTGTCGCAGAAAGTGGAATCGGGTTCCCCTTTGGCTCAGAATTGGAGCCAAGAGCCGCAGCGCAGCTTTCTTGCTTTTGTTGAAACTTGTAGATTCAGGTGTCGGGCCGCCCGGCTTTGTTTTGCCCCTCCCTTTTCCCCGCGTCAATCTGGCAGCACACATCGATTCGTTCGTTTTTTTTTGTTGGGTAGCTGTTTCGGCACTTGGCAAGTGCCTGGCAATGGAGGTTACTGCAGTGAGGCAGTTTTGTTGAGATGCTTGGCCAAACATTGGGCCATTGACGGTTTGTTGCTGAGAGTCTTGTTTGTAATCGGGACTGACAACTTCATTCGGTGACTGGTCGGAAAAGGCTTTTGCAGTGCCACAAGAGTTGGTTCCGGAGGTCGGCCACACCCCCCAGCATCACTTGGACCAATTGGGGCTGGTTTGTTGCGGTAAGGCATGAGTTCCATATTTCGTGGCGAGGGACGCAGGAGGCAACAATCCTACAGCATCCTGAGCCACCGCTTCAACCAGGCCATACCAGGCCCAAGGTTGACACAAGCCAGCCAAATCAATCCCAATCCAACCAATCACAGCCCCATGTCAAGCCCAGCACAAGATAACCCAGATTCTTGGCTGCTTGGGTACAAGCTTGGGTACAAGCATGAGAAGCCACGGCTAAGCAAAAGAAAGCCCTCCGACGTACCGCCGAGGTTTGGGAGCAACTTCGGGAACAGGGTCACCGGCTCATCGCAGCAGACTTGGCGGGGTAACTTGGCAAGAGTTGTGTGTTGACATGATTTGTGGGAGGGCTTGCTTCACGTGGCTGATGCCAGGCATGGTGAGAGCACCTTGACGCCTGGCTCGCTGGAACTGTCCTCACTGAGTATGGATTTGAAGCGGCTCTTGGAATACTTCCACGTAACTGAAGCACCTTGTCGCAAACTTGGCCAGCTTTGTACCGGAGGAATGGCTCCTAGTGCCTTGTTGCGCATGTCGGCAAGTCATCCACTTGCAGTACTTTTTAGTCAAGTGAGCAGTAGACAGCCAACAATCCAGCCTCGTGGCCAGGGAGCAGTGGTTGGTCATGGAGTGGGTGGCTTTATCGCAGTCCAGTTCTTGCTCGAGCACCGGCTTGCCGCCAGGAGGCGGAAAAGCAAGAGTTGGAGGGCCGTTTTAAGCCTTTCATGTCCAAGAATCCGAAGTAATTACACTAGCATTTCCGGACCACCGAACCAAAATTTGTCTAAGCCTGCTCGATGTCGATGGCAGGCTGCCATTCGGCCTGGTGTGCGTCTCTTGCACCGCTGGCAACCTGCAGAAGGCCAGCTGGACATAAGTGAAAGGCTTTGCGTGCCATTTGTCCGCCTTGCAGCTTTCCCGTGTGCGCTGACCGTTTGAAACGGAGTTTCGTGAACATGACTTGATGAGGCCGTGGGTCGAGAATTCCTGCGCACCCTGGCCACGGCTTTTGCAGCTCTGCGCCTGCCGGCCGGGCCACGGGTGTCGGCGGGTCAGGGGGTCTGGTTGGGGTGGAGCCACACGGCTTTCAAGCCACCGGACCCTGGGGCTTGTGCGGCTCGTTTTTGTTGACTGGCCCTGGCAAAGAGGGTGTATGTTTTTTAACAGGCCCCCGCAACAGTGATTGGTGTGCATGACTCTCCATGTAAACGATGCTTCCCAAAGGGCGCAGCCTGTTTTAGGGGCATATGCAGCCAGCAGGTTTTGGCCCAAGGAGCTGCTGACCTACTTCGACCTGCCTGGCGAAGCCTCGGTCGCGAGGCGCTTGGGTCAAAACGCCACCCATGGTGTGGTACGTGTGGCGCTGGAAGCCAAGCGACGCGCTGCCAGCGACTGGGCGCTGCGGAACCTGAGTGATGCGCAGCTCGGCGTGCAACAGCTTGTGCTTTTTGGGATTGGTTTGGGTGTTTGAAGCCACCAATCGAAGCCACCAATTAGAGGGAAGCTGATTATGGGAGGCCATGCCCTTTGGAGGCGGCAAGGATGGAGCATGTCGACATCAGTTGGTCCGGCAACGTTGCGTGCGATTGAATGCCCTCAGCTGTTTGATTGCATCGGTGGCCTGATGTGGCTTGATATGCTTGCTTGCGGGCATCTTGTTGTTGGACCTCCACGAAGAGGTGGGATCGGGTTCTCCCAGCACAATGTATCTCATCGGCAATATGTTTCGCCATGGCCGTCCCAACTCCAGTGTTCAGATCGACCTTCGATTTGAGGCTGTGGACGCTGGATCTCCACCCGAGCCTTGCCACACTGCGGTTCCCCTGTTCCGTGCTGCTGAGCCGAGATGACAGAGTGCAGCCCGAAGCGCTGCGGGAAGCCTTTGCAGCCACTGGCCAGATGCGGTATTTCAAGCTGCGCCGCGGCAGGCAATTGGTGCCCAAGCTTTGTCAGTCAAGTACTGCCAGAAGTCAGAGCATGTGCTCTGGCTTTGGGCGGTGGGGACGATGAAGGGAATGTAGTGGGGGGTGGTGTGATTTTACGGCAAACGGGGGCCAAATCAGGCTGGATGACGCTGGGTCCTTCTTGCCTTTGATCAAGCCGAAAGAGGTTGCGGAAGCTGTGTCGAAGATCTTTGCTTGAATGTAAAATCGCTTTGATCCTTCGGTGCTTGGAGTGCAACGTGGAGCTATTGGATGGCAAGGCCTGAAAGCGATTGGACCCAGGGGCGTGTAGCACGTGTAGCACCTCCACTCCTTGTCAGACAAAGGCGGCCTGAGCTGCTTTGTCAAGGTGCACGTGAAGTGCCGATGAGCACCGAGATCGTAGCGGCCAGCGGCCGTGTTTAGCTGGTGGGATGTACGCGACTGACTGGAAGGTTATGTCTCTGGGCCCAGGCGGTTGCGCAAAACTATGCACTGCCAGCGAAAGTCAGCTGCCAATGCATGTTTTCTTTGATGTCGCCCATGTGTGCGACATGGGGGGTTGAGAAGTTAAACATGTCACCAGCGTCGGACCAGGAGCTGAGCATGACTTGCTGGCGCGCGTGCTGCAGGACATGAAGCGGGGCCAGGAATCAATGGCCCACGTGAGCTGCAATCAAGACCTGCATGATTGAAGGCTTGTAATTAGGGAGCAGCCCCAACCAGAAACTTAGGCAGGCGCGCTTTGAATTCTTCACATGCTTTTGGGGAGGGCCCCTGAATATCAGGTTTTGTGTATGACTCCGGGACAGAACAGGATGTAGCTGCATTTTCTGATCGGTCCCTGATCGGTTCTTATTAGCCAGGACTTGACTCGACCTTTTTGCCCGGTGTGGCTGCGTGGATTGGCTGGTTTCCGCGGGCCGTTGGCTCAAACTTAGCTGGGCTTGAGTGGAGCGCTTACCAAGTTCCCTCTTGCAATGCTGCAGGTTTTCGAAATGGTTTCCCCCTCGTCGGTTTTTAGTTAATCATAAGTTGAAGCTTGTTTCATCCGTGGTGGGTCAGCTTGACCACACTGCGTCCAGCCCGTGGTGCCCCACCTAGAAAATTGCTTAGCTGCCGCCATGCATCCGGGCCATGTGCGTCCTTTGCAGGGAGATCAGCCGCTTCAAGCAGTTTAAGAACCCCCCCGAATCCGATGGCAGTAATCTTGGGCAAGTGGGGCCAGGAGAGAGAAAACAACACGCTTCATGGAGCCGAAATTCCCCTTCGCAGACCTTCGCTGATAGGGATTCATCAATGAAACAGCTTCGGAGTTTTGTTCCGTCAACAGTTTTGTTCCGTAAACTGCCAGCTGTGGTGGCATGTCCTGATTCATGTCGGGCAACGGTGCGTGGATGGATTCTGCGCTCATTTTGCGGTTGATGCTGGAGGCTTTTTCTGCGCAGGTCGAGTCTTAGAAGGATTACTGGTTTGGAAGCAGTGAGGCTAGTCCTGGGTTGGCAAACGCATGTCGAAGTGACGTCTTCACACCAGCCTTGGACCACGAGGCCTCGCAGCATCCACATGCAGCCTGGCCCTGGCGTTCAGCGTTTTCCTTCCAGGCGGCTATTGCGCGTCCTTGTGCAGTTGCACTATGCATTCTTGTCCTCTTCGAGTAGCCTCCTGCCAAACTTCTGGGCCATTGTAGCGACAACACTAGGGGGTTTGTGACATCATGGTAGCAGAAACCTGGTCCAAGTGTTTGAGCACAGCATGATGCCGCCTCCCTTTCCAGGTCGCAGATGGGTCGGCCCGGGATGTCTCATCATGCCAGCTCTGCGCCCGCGACACGCCTTTCCTCGCCAACCGGCGCCATTTTAGGACACTGGGAAGGCGCCACGGGGCCAGCTCGGGTGTGCGGATGGCACCAACAGGGTGCCTCAAACGAGCCACGTCAATTACTGGACCGCCCAAAGTCGTTTCCATTTCGGTTTGTGCAACACCGAAGCTCCTCAAGGACTGCAAACAAGCGACCAGTGTTCTTTCATAGGAACTGGTGGCGTTGACGCATGCTTCGTTCATCGAGCGTCCACGGGCCCCCCCTTGGCCAGGCAGCCCCGGCCAAACCCCGAAGACCACGCAACGCCAGCGCCCAATGCCTGGCACTCGGGCAATGGGATGGGATCCTTGCAGAGATGCCGATGGCGACCCTGTTTTAAAAAACCGTTTCCTTTAAACAGTTAGGCCTGTTTGAGATTGTGGGATTTGCTCAGCTTTCATTGCCACCTTGCCACATGCGTGCCATGACCTTGAGCCCATGCAGGGCAGTCAAGCATGTAGCCCAGGATGTCCCACGCCGGCCCAGCTCAGCCCTCAATTGGAGTCAGCCATCTAAAGTCGCAGGATACGTGTCCTAATGCCTTGCGTCCCCTGTGCCCTCAAAAACTGATTTGGTACATCATCGCCTTGCCCGCTGGGCGCTGGGCTTTGAAATTTAGTAATTTCTAGCTGGCCTGAGCTGAGGCCGGCTCCCCGGATCCTCGTCATAGTTATGGTTCGCTTGGCCCGATGACTTCGGGTGGTCGATCGCCTTCTCCTGGCACTGTGCAGGGCCAGCAGCCTCGAGGCCGGTTTGGAGGGCACATGGGCCGTGATGAAACTGGTGCAGCTCAGAACACGCAATCCGACACACTTTCCAGCTAATGCAAATCGTGCCTCGCCGAGTGAACCAAGAAGCGGGTCGGCATACTGTCTGGAGAATGAGGCGGCCCCAGTTGCTCCGAGGCTACTACCATCGCTCAGGCTGACATGAGTAGAGTCAGAAGCAGAAAAACACATATTGTGAGCGCCAGCAAGACTTCTGGACGAGCAATGTGCATATGACATGCCACCATGGTTTGGCGGCCTGATTTGTACCACTAAGCAAGTGACCACACGCGCACATATATTCTTGAGATGTTGCTTGAACGCGACTCGTGACCAGGTCTCAGGCAACAGAAACCAGGCAAGCAAAAAACCAGGCAAGCAGGTTGGGGGACTCATTGCTTTTCCCATGCAATCAGTTGGAGTCTGTAAGTTTTCATGATTGTGGCTGTGGCTCATATGTAAACCACGAGCGCGTCGAGATGATGTCCTCAGGGTCATGCGCTGCTCCGCGACCGGATCGCCTGGGTGTCGTGGAGGAGGACAAGCAGGTGCCGAGCATGACCACTCACGCAATGCCCTCACGCAATGTTTTCACGCAATGTCAAGCCACATCAAGCCACGCGTCGCTTCGCAGCCCTTGAGACCGCCTTGTCGCAGGGCTATCCAACGCCTCGAGGCTTGGCATGAGCAAGTCGTTCCTTCCGAGATGGCATGCGGGGCACATGGTGCGGTAGTTGTTGTGGCAATTGTCCTGCCACCGCTGCTTGTGAATAACAGGATCCCCTTTAGAGGTCTGGTTTGATGGTCGTGGCTGGCGGTGTTAATGGCCAACGTAGCCACAGTTTCGATACCTTCCAAGGGAGTTGTGTGCTTGGTTGCCGAGTCAGAGGCGCATCTTGTGACCATCACGCGGCCTCCACGCAAAGCACAGCTGCACCACCACAGGCCGCGGCTTTTCCTGAAGTTTCCGGGTCCCATGTGAATCCTGTGATGCTTTGAGCCTGTGTCGTGTCGCTTTCCATGACTTTGGCGCTGCATTTGTGCCAGTTCACAACACTTCGGCTCTATGCAATCGGGGCCCGTTGCTTGATAGTTGTCGTTTTCCTCGTTTAGCTGAATCACACGTGTTAGCACATGGGTTAGCGAATGAAACCAGGTCCTAGAGTTGAGAAAGAACTTCCGTGATTGAAAGCTCTCTGAGGAAGATGGTCACATTCGGAGCAATCTCGGAGCGCGTTCGGAGGGACAATTGGCACCGATGCGCGCGCTTTTCGCATTAGTTTGCAGGACAGGTGCAGCGCTTTCGCAATGTCAAGTGCAGATGTGGTGGCAGGCACAGCTCTTTCAGGTCAGATGCAGGTTGCGTGACAGGCGCGGCGCTTTCGCAAGGTCAGTTTTTCGTGGCAGACTCCGCGCTTTCGCAGGGTAGGTTTCGTGGCAGCCTCAGCGCTTTCACAAGGTCCGGTGTAGGTTTTGTGGCAGGCGCAGCGCTTTCGCAAAGTCAGGCGCATGTTTTGTGGCAGGCGTAGCGCTTTCGCAAGGTGAGGTGCGGAAATCGTGGCAGGCGCAGCAGTTTCGCAAGGTTGATGGATAGAAGATAGATCGATATATGAGGCCGATAAATATACAGATACTTTTTGGGAAATAAGTAAGTGGATAGGTCGACAGGAAGACAGACAGAAGAGAGCGAGAGAGAGAGAGAGAGAGAGAGAGATGCTGGGCAGATAGTTAGATAGGTAGATAGAGAGGGAGAGAGAGCGAGAGAGAGAGAGAGCGAGTGTCGATGAGTAGACAGGTAGGTTGAAAAAGTAGTAGACCGAGACATAGGCGCGATGAGGTAGATAGATAGAGAGAGATAGACAGATAGATTGGTAAGTAGTAAATGCGAGAATATGTAGCTAGCTTGATAGATGGATAGGTCGAGATGCAAGGACAGATGAGCCAACCAGCTAGATAGACAGATGCATAGACACATAGCTAGACGGACAAATAGGTGGGTAGATAAATAGATAGATAGAAAAACACGACGCGTGGGACAGAAGAAAAAGGACAAACACATGAAAGCAACAAAGAAAGAAAGGAAAGACAGAAAGAAGGGAAAGACGGAAGGAAGGAAGGAAGGAAGGAAGGGAGGGAGGGAGGGAAGGAAGGAAGGAAGGAAGGGAAGGAAGGGAAGGAAGGAAGGAAGGAAGGAAGGGAAGGGGGGAGGAAGGAGGAAGGGAGGTAGGAGGGAAGGAGGGAAGGACGAACAGAAGCAAGGAAAAACCGAACAAAAAGACGAGGGGAGAAGAAAGAAGGACAGCTGAAGAGTAAAGGTCACATGAAAGGAAAAAAGGAAAATTAACGATGGCAAACAGCAAAAACGAAGAAGATACCGACTGGTATTTTGGAAAGCCCCACAGGGGCGGCTCTCGACAGCCAGAAGCCCGTCTGTGCAAAATCGAGACCGAGGCCTGGGTTCTGCCTTGAAGTTTCACGCGTTGCTTTGTGGTTTGCGGTTGGTTGCAGAAATGTCAAACCTCACGCACATGCTCGGCCCATTTTGATTGCCAGCCCATCGCCAGCGCCAGGTGCGCCAGGTTCAACCGCCCTCCGCGAGGCGAGCTCGGCCGGGGAGAGGTGACCTGGAGATCCCAGAGAAACCTCCAGACTAGCGGTGGATGGCAAACTTTGGTTTCTGCAGCACGTGGCTTCCTTGCCAGTGGGCCATGACCGATTGTAACAGCTATGCTGCAGAAGCCTCAACGTTGCAGGGACCATGCAGGGACCTGTTTGTATGATTGCTAGGGCTTCCTGTCTCTCCTTGGCAAGGGACAAACGCTTGCTGCTTCGTCATTTGCAGTCTGCTGTGCCCTTGATGTACATGTCAACCATCTACACGCCAGTTCTTTTTACTCTTGAAGCAAAACTCGCCTGTCCGGTTGCGAGCAGGCGAGTGCTAGCACGCGCACGCCGAAGCCGGAGGATGGCCGCCTACAGCTGCTTGGCAGCGGAAGCGGGGCAGGAAACAGTCTAATGCTGAATTGCCGAAGTCATGTTTTGAATTGAAGCGATGGCGCAGGCCAACGCTGTGCCAACAAATTGGCAGGCTGCAACACAAGCTTCTGGAATGGAACCCGATTTCAGGGTTGTCCTTGTGGGTTTCCCTTAACCAAGTTCAGGCGAAAAGGGTATCCTCAGACAACACATGCCTGTATGTCACAATGCCAACCGCACAATGCGCTGGAGCTCAAAGAGGTTGACACGTGCCCCCAAACCACGCACAGCCCGCAAAGCTCTTCCAGCTTTGCGCAAGGATGACTGCCCAAGAGCATTACAATTTCGTTAACCCATGTCAAAGGTTGCCTTTCTAGTCTCAGATATCAAAGCTTTTTCTACGAGCTCTTTTCAAAAGGGGACACTTGCTGTTTTGGCGTGCATCAGCATCTCAAGGGCAGACAAAGCATGGTAAGAAACATGCCAAGCAGATGGTTTGCAGCAAGGCGCAAGCCTAATATTTTCACAGGTTCCTGGAGTCTGAGCTTGCGTCCTTCACCTCCAAGATTGAGGAGATGAGGACTGAATCTTGGGCGCATGCTCGGATTTCAGGATGTGAGGGCCGTGGTACGTGCAAAGGAAGCACTTGTCAGTACTTGTTGGTTGCGGAAATTGCTTGGGCCTAGTGTGTAGAACCAGGGGTGCGCAAGTGCAAGGCGCGTGCAGCCATCCCTGACTGAGACTCTGCAGCACATCGTGCTCTCAATGACATTTGTAGGTTTGGCATGTTTCGATTTGTGCAAGCAGCGGTGCCAGCGGTGCCATATCATCTTGCTTGTGGCGAGTTGCCTCAACGATGGCTCAAAGCTTTTCGTCCCGACCGGCAGCTCCATTTGACCTGGAAGTGGCACAAGGATATTCAGACCTCCTTGACAAAACATTCATTTCATTTCCTTTTGAGGTGCCACTGAAACAACAAGTTGCGATCTTTCAAATTGGAAATTACTTGCTGGCCGCCACACTTGAGCTCCTGCACAGGGCCGCCGCCGAGAATCTGCAGGAGGAGGCCAGGAACATCCACCTTCGCCATAGTTGACGTTGAACCTCGCCCCGACCAGTTGTCACATTGTCGGGAAGGCTGAAGAGAGGGTGCAAACTTGTGGTGGTCTGATTTGCTGTGGCTGCAGCACCGCCAGCTGCAGGTTCAAGCACCATTGTCATACATTGTCGGGTCATCGAGCAACCCTGCGGGTAGTTCACAGTTGATCAATCAACTCTGCTTTGGTACTGCAACTCGGGACGCTGCAGATGTTCAACTGCGAGTCCTTCAATGCCTTTCATTGTTTGAAAAGGATCTCAAACTTTCCAATTATGTTCATGCGCTCTCCTTGTTCCATCGGGGATGGAAAACCTTAGTCGGTAGATGAAGACGTGAACTGGCCTTCCTTGAGGAAATATGTCAGGCGATGGTCCGAACATATCCAATCCGTCCTAATGTGCGTGACCTTCCCGGCCAATCTGTGCTTGAGAGAGCCCTCTTTCGCGGCCTTTCGCGACTGAGTACCTTTCAGCCCAAGCTGCAGCCAGCCAACCTTCCCACCCCCCCACCCCTCACCCTCTTGAGGGTGAGGCAACGCCCCCGATGAACACATGTTGAATTTTAATGAGCGCCCTCATGTTCATAGAATGGCCGCCATTTCCACCCTGAAACCCGCTGATGCATCAGGTTCGCACAGCAAGGGCACCAAGCAGCCAGGGACCCGGTGCAAGCACTTGGCGGATGTCTTGGCTTTCAATGCTTTCAATGCTTTGGTTTGGCAGAGCCAGAAGCTGCTTTCCTTCACGGCCTGCCTGGCCAACATCATTTGGTGGCTTCCAAGGTGCTCCAACAACTACAGGCCAAGGGGTTTACGCCAGCAGCGTCAACAGCGATTTCAGCTCCGCCAGTGGCCAGCTGGCGCCCTGCTGCACATGCTTGTCATGCGTGCACATTTCTCTACATTGCTTCATTGCTGGATTTCTAGACGCCTGGCATTCTTCTGAACCTAATTATATAACTGGTGCTTGGAATTTCTGCACCGGCCGAAATGGACTTGCAATTGGCATAAGAGGGGATACCGTGACCAATGTGCAGTGTTTTTTTTTGTTTGCTACAGTATATTGGTTTTGCTTTGTTATGCTTTGATTGCGTGTTATGTTGGTTTTGTGCGCGCGCGTGCGTGCGTGCGTGCGTGCGTGCGTGCGTGCGTGCGTGCGTGCGTGCGTGCGTGCGTGGGTGCGTGGGTGCGTGGGTGCGTGGGTGCGTGGGTGTGTGTGTGTGTGTGTGTGTGTGTGTGCGTGGTGGAGAGTGTGTTCAACAGTGTTTTTGGACCCTCCAGCATGCCAAATCTTTTTGCACCAAGCCCAGTTTCCAATGTTTCCATGCGCATGGCGCAATCCATCTCTTTGTTCAGCAGTCCAGCTGCCCAGATGGAGACATTGAAGTCCTTGGTGCAAGAGGAGTATGGAAGGCAGGACTGGCTGGGGTCAGGGTTCCCGTGTTTCTGCAATGTTGCCGGTTGGCAGTATAGTTGTCGTTGTTTGCCAATACCCATCCCAGCGTCATGTGCAAGCCCTGCCAGGCCAGCTCAGACCAGCAATGACTTGGTGCAGGCAGGGCTTGGGCGAACGAATGCAGGCATGACGCATTGAAAGGCAGGTGGGCGGATGCAGAGTGGCCAAGAAGCGAAGCCACAAATTGTGGCAGGGTCCAGGATTTAGTACAGAGGTGCTGGTTGCTTGGTTGCTTGGTTGCTTGGTTGCTTGGTTGCTTGGTTGCTTGGTTGCTTGCTTGCTTGCTTGCTTGCTTGCTTGCTTGCTTGCTTGCTTGCTTGCTTGCTTGCTTGCTTGCTTTGCTTGGTTGCTTGGTTGCTTGGTTGCTTGGTTGCTTGGTTGCTTGGTTGCTTGGTTGGTTGCTTGCTTGCTTGCTTGCTTGGTTGCTTGGTCGCTTGGTTGCTTGGTTGCTTGGTTGCTTGGTTGCTTGCTTGATGCTTGGTTTCTTCGTTGCTTGGTTTCTTGGTTGCTTGGTTGCTTGGTTGCTTGGTTGCTTGGTTGCTTGGTTGCTTGGTTGCTTGGTTGCTTGGTTGCTTGGTTGCTTGGTGGCTTGGTGGCTTGGTGGCTTGGTGGCTTGGTGGCTTGGTGGCTTGGTGGCTTGGTGGCTTGGTTGCTTGGTTGCTTGTGCTTGGTTGCTTGGTTGCTTGGTTGCGTGGTTGCCTGGTTGCCTGGTTGCTTGGTTGCTTGGTTTCTTGGTTGCTTGGTTGCTTGGTTGCTTGGTTGCTTGGTTGCTTGGTTGCTTGGTTGCTTGGTTGCTTGGTTGCTTGGTTGCTTGGTTGCTTGGTGGCTTGGTGGCTTGGTGGCTTGGTGGCTTGGTGGCTTGGTGGCTTGGTGGCTTGGTGGCTTGGTTGCTTGTGCTTGGTTGCTTGGTTGCTTGGTTGCTTGGTTGCTTGGTTGCCTGGTTGCCTGGTTGCTTGGTTTCCTTGCTTGCTTACTTGCTTGCTTGGGCGCTTGGTTCCTTGCATGCTTCTGCGCTTGGTTCTTTGGCTGCTTGGCAGCTTGGTCGGTTGGTCGCTTGGTCGGCTGGCTGGATCGCTTGGTCGCCTGGTTGCTTGGTCGCTTGGTTGGTTTCTTGGTCACAAGGAAGACCCAACCACCTCCAAGACACGCGAAGACAGCGCCCAAAACATACCCAAACCTATCGGGCTGCCCTTTGCAAGGAGATACGCCAGCTGCGCCAGGAACTGAGGCCAGCCCGATTCGCGCGACGTGGGCAGCTTTTCAGCCTATGCCAGAGTTGATGATAGTCTGGTTAAGTGCAAAACCGACATGTATTCAACCTGTGATGTTTGTCCCACATGCCTTCCTCTCAGATGTTGAAACAGGTGGAGTTTTTGATTTAGATTTTCATGCCTTGCGCCAAACACTTGTTTCGCAGACGATGGCTTTGTGCAAGTGCAATTGGTTTGGCATCATGTTTGTTGCATTCGGTTGACCCGAGTTCCCATCCTGTGCGGGCAGAACTTAACGCTGCTTTCAGGATATTGAGTTCATGTCACCAGACCCGACGCGCCTGTTTGTTTTGGCATGTTACGGCTCGAGTAAAGGGCGTTCTGCGCCTGTGTAGTTTCTTCTGCCCATCTGAAGACCCCACAGCTCAAGTGTTAGAGAAGTTTTTGCAACGGAAACACCGCCCACGCGGGACCCCCGCCAATAGTTTGGGAAGCAACCCAAAATGTTTTCCGCAACTAGATAGTTTCTGAACCATGGTTTCCGAAAAACGGAGCGTCCAGAACAGACGCAATTGGACTTCTTGGGTGATGCTTGACCCAGTAGTATGGTGCCAGGGTGGAAGCAGAAGCGAGGAAGCAGTTGAATGTGAAGATGGAAACAATGTTTCTCGTGCCTGGGCGCAGGGACTGGGAGGAACTCTTGTCTGAGGGTGGTGCATTGCGCAGGGCTCGTTTATTCCTTCAGAAGCTGTGTTTTCAATCGGCAAGACAAGTAAGCTTCAGTACGCAAACCATCCCGAGTGAGGCACTCCAGGGCCCGCTTGCATATCTTTGCTTAAGCCTCGTGCACGCGTGAATTTGCAATGATTGACGAGCCTGGCCTTGTGATCAGTCCTTAGGACGAAAAGAAACAAAGAGACGAGGCTGGGAGAGAGAGTGATGTGCTGAGAGCATGTGGTGGAGGGCAAAGGTTGTACAGATGGTACGCTTAGCGACAGTCATTACGAATTGGAACGGATTTCTCGTGGAAACGGGGGGACTGCCCAGGAGGCACGACATGCTCGTGCGTACGTGGACATATTTGTATATGCACTTTCCTTAACGTGTATGTTACAATATTTTGCGACAACGGGTGTATCAAATATAGCTACATTTTACATTTTGCAAATACGCATTAATATATGCTTGTGTAAATGCGTGAGGCATTGCGGCAGATGGTCCATCAGCGGGAGGATGCTGATGCAAAGCTGGAACAGCGCTGGCACAACACACTCAAGGAAGAGTCCGTGCCTTGGCTAAGCAAACATGCAGGACATCAGGACATGTTTAATTAAGATCTGGGCTATATTGAGTGGCTACCAGACGCCTCATTTACAAATGCATTCAGCATGGTGGTTTCACCAGAACCTTTTGCGGTGCATTGCTCGCTGTTGCATTCCGTCGCTGTGGCAGTCGCTGCGCCGGGCGGTGGAGAGTCACCTGGAGGCAAGGCTCATAGCCCTGCAGCGAGAGCTGCGTCTTGAAGCAGGCGGGTGTGGCGGGGGCTGCATTCCAAAGAGGAGGCCCCAGCCCTTTGGAGCTCTGGGCAAATCTCGTTCCTGACCTGTGAGGTTAGGTGGCCGCGTTCTTGAAATATGGGTTGATATGCAGGGGGTTGCCCTGGCGAACAAGTGCAGCGCACAACCCCGGCCTGCCTGATGGGTCTTTTGATGAGTGCTGCAGGAGCTGCTTCAGCATCTGCCCAGCAGGCCATCAGCGAGCTGAGCCAGCTCAGAACCTTGGGTCACTTCAGATAGATGAGATGGGATGCTGGGATGAGGCTGTTGAAAGAATGGGCCCAGAAAGGCTCACGGAAACGTCTCCTGACATTTACAGTTGCCACCTTCAGCGAACCGTCTGCATTGAGGGCTGGATGTGAGGCTTCGGATTAGTTGGGAATGTTCGGCGGTCTGTGTCGCTGAGGAGATGGCCTTCGCCAAGAGATGGATGCCCAGAAGCTGGAGTTTGGACACGCCAGTGCAGACCTTGCAAGGCTGATCTGAGCTAGTTGTGGAGAGGGGAGGGGCTCTTGTAGGGGTTGCGCGCACCCCATGTGCAACAAATGCTGAATATCGAGTTTGCGTTCATTAGTTCTGCCTTTCCCAAAGAGGATCTTGAGGGCTGGCGCCCTCGAAGCCACTCGCCCGTGCAGGCTGGTGGAGCAGCTGCGCAGCCGCAGCGGTGCGGCTCGGTTGGAGCTTTTGCCGTGGGCGAACGGGTCATTGCTGCACATTGGACACGGGTGTAGCACATTTTGAGGGAAGGGGGGGGGGCAAGAGGAAGCTACCTTTGCTTGGGTCCGCCCCCATTTTTTACACATGCCCACATGTGATGGTCCTTTCATGCTGAGGTCCTTTTTGTCGCATGGAGTGGGTAGCAACATATAGCAGCCTTGATTGAACAGGAACAGTGTAGAATGTTACGATTTATCAGCTGCCGGCCGGCCAAATCGGGGACACTGTTGTACTTAAAGCTATCTTAGCTTGCGCTGTGTATGTGTGCAGTTGCCATCCAGATGCGAGGCAGCTACCCTGCACACAGCACCTAGGCCTTTATCGTTTTGTGGCCGGCCATGGCTTTTGAAAGCCGCCGGCCATTGAAGGCCGCAAGTCCCTGAGATCCAATGGCCGTTGCGTAACTCCTAAGGACCTCCCTGACATCAGCGACAACCTGGTGCGTGCGGAGGTTAGGAGGCAGCTAGCAGAGAGGCAAGGAGACTGAAGCCCACTGAAGCCCATCACCGAAACGCAGCCCTGAAGTGACATCCGAAGTACGAAAAGACACAGTAGAAGCAGAACCGAGCAGAGCAGCATACTGACTGGCACTGTTCAGCTCATTCTTTTCTGGTGCTGCAGCCTGGGTTTTGATGCCAACCGTGCCAAGAAAGCTGCTTTTGAACAGACGCCTTTTGGATCTCTGAGGGGGCATCCCTATAGAACGGCTGTAGGGCAGACCGCGAGGCCTTTTGGCTTTCGAGTCTTGGGAATATCGGTGCCTGGTTAGCCCTGTAGTCCGATATCTAGCAAGAGAGGCTCCACCCGCTAGTTGGGCGACACTAGCTTTTCAATGGCTCCTGTTGCTCGCAGGCCGCTTGTGCAGTCCAATGCCGGTGCTGGACTGGAGACGCTGGTCCGGAAGAGCAGGTATGGCATCAAAACCTCCCCTTCCATCAAATGGACCATGACTTGGCAGGACTCATGCTAGTTGTTAAGGTGCGGATTGCATGCAGGCATCCCTACTGATTTAAACCTACTGACCCACTGGTTGAGGGCGAATAATTCTGAACGACAAAGTTGTTGCTGAGTCTACCTGTTGACGCCCTTTATGTGATGACAATGTCAAGCTGCATCCATTGTTTCAAGGGGTGGTGAAGATTCTTCCCAACTCAAATGTCCGGAATGCCAGCAGAGTTCTGCCAGTGCAGGATGTCGTTGATGCCCGCAGCCGGTTATCCCGTTAGCCCTGCGTAGCTTGTGGCATGAGCCTTGGCATTGAGGCAGGCCTTGGCCAGCCGTGTCGAGCACCTGGAGCGTGCCCTGGAGAATGAGGCCACCAGCCGCCAGGAGGAGCCGTCGCGGGGATGCATCAAACTGCCATGCTTTTCCGTCCTGGTCTTCAAAGCATATTCCAATGTCAACAACACCTTGCAACAGACAAGTTGCGTGTTTCCGCGAGAGCCACGGCCATCCCGCAATCAAGCCAACATCGCTTGGGTGAGTGGATGGGTGCCGCCAAGCCAGGAGAGCAGCAAGCTCCTCTCCACGTTGCATGAGCCTCTGGGTAGCAAGAGTGTTCGTTCCAGCGTCATGCGCAGCTTGTCGATATTGCGCAGCACGACTCCGAGGACTCCTTGAACATTAGGGGCCAGTGGCCTGTGTTTGCAAGCGTATTCAAATTCAAGGGGCACGCTACGGCCGTGGATCACCAAGGGGCCAACAGGGGGAGAGGTCTAAAGAAGACCTTCTGAATGCGTTGATGGGCCGGAGGGCGTCCAGCGGACCCATGCCTAAAGAGAAGGCCTTGCGGGCCTCAAAACGCCATGCACTCGAAAATGACATTGGCCCCAGGCTTTACATAACTTTACATCCTGTCTTGTCGGCAGGCTCGTGGGCGAGCTGCGGAAGCACCAGGCGGAG